TGTTTATGTTGTTCCGTTGTTTTCCTCTTATAGTTGATGTGTTTCCCTCGGTTTTGGTTTGTGACCCGGATTTGTTTCGGTTAAATCGATTTATGACTATTGAACAGCGATATACTACTGTTGCTTTAATTTATGAATCTTTTTTTATACGAAACTCCCGTCTAGCGTACAAAATTTTAATCCAGGTATCTATGATGAGTTTATCTACATGTATAATATAATACAAATGTTATCCTAAAGACATTATTCTGGTTAATAGTCGTAACTGTGATATTTAATTCATCGACATTTCTTAAAGATAAGCGTGTGCTCTTAACATAAATATAGGTAACATAAATTAGCCTATTATCTAATTAGCTGAAAGTGGCATTGTAAAAGTATATGAAAAATAAATATTAACATCAAAATTCAATGTTTTGTTTATCTTTCCGCTGCAGATTTGAATATCTATGACATTGACAAATGATATACTTTTAACTTAGTATATGCCCTCTGACTTTTATTGTTTTGCATCACGATAAATGAATGCTCAATTACGTGTTAGGCTATAAGTTTCATTCGATATTCACGCCATCATGAAATTAATACTAAACAAGTATCGGTTCTTTTTGGCTGCATCATGATTGACTTAAATAATATTTGCTGCAATGAGATATAGAATTGGGAACATGACAGGGGGGAAATCAAATACGGTAGGTAAGGAATAAAACTGCAGTATGGTTATTCAAGACCCGATCAATAATTAAGGTCTTTCCTTTTTCTATAAGGAAAGACCTTACTGTATTTCTTCCGTTTATTAAGGTCTTTCCTTTTCCAAAAGGGAAAGACCTTACTGTATTTCTTCTGATTATTATAATAATTAAGTTCTTTCCTTTTTAAAAAGGGAAAGACCTTACGGTATTTCTTCTGTTTATTATTATTATTCTTTTTCCGCCAAACTTTGACGAAGTTAGCAGCCTTAACCGTAAGACGTGTCGCTTTCATGTTCATACTTTGTATCGGTGTCATGAATACCTATCCGGAACTCACCCTGGGAGTCAAAATATTTTTTCGGTTCGAAGTAATCCCTCCGAAACCTAAAAACCTTGTTATCATTTAAACACCGTAACCGTAATTGGTAGAAAAAAACCGAAGGGTGAAATTTGTTCAGGACCAGACCCCGGTTCTTCGTTACATTTGGATTGAAAAGATTCAACGACTCATTGGTAGGGTTATACCCCTATGAAAATTACCCGCAGTCGGTTGGCCCCCAAAACTCAGAAACCGTAAGTCGTAGACACCTAGGATCTTCAACAGTCATCATCCATTGATGTGACTCTGAAAAATATCTCAAGGTCAAATTTGTATGTTGACCTTGACCTTTGACCTAACACCTTGTTATGGGATAATCTCAGAAACCATTATACTTACAGAAGTTTTGAATAGTGGGAAATGTTTGGGTCATTAAGGCGCAACTTCGTTACATTTTGACCGAAAAGATTTGAAATTCTATAAGGGGCATAACCCCTAGTTTAGGTTTCTAAAAAGACAAAATCAGGTTTTACTGTTAAATCAAAGGTCCTAGACCCATGGGGTCTTCAGCAATGACATTGGGGACTAATGACCTTGACAAAGGTCAAAAGGTCAAAGGTCAAGGTCATGTCCCAGATAGCGAAATATGTGTTTTCGACCTTATTTAAAGAATTTTTAGTGTGTTTTAAAGCTTTTTGTGGTGGACCTTGACCTTTGACCCTAAAAGTTATTTATTCGATATCTCCAAAACGATAATACTTACAGAAATAGTAAATAGTGAAAAATAATTGGGACATAAAGGCGCAACTTTTTTATATTTTGACCGAAGAGATTTGACCTATCCGTAAGGGGCATAACCCCTGTTAACTATTTTAGAAAAGCCAAATAAGCTTTTACTCATGAACCAAAGGTCCTAGACTTATGGGGTCTTTTGTTATGACATTGTGGACCAATGACCTTGACAATGGTCATAAGGTCAAAAGTCAAGGTCATGTCCCAAATTCCGAATTATGTGTTTTTGACCATATTTTAAGGGTTTTGTGTGTGTTTTAGAGCTTTTCAATGCATTATACGCTTATTTAAACATATATTTTACATAATGAAAAGGAAAGACCTCTCAATTGTTCAAGAACAATTGATATTTTAATTATTATTATTATTATTATTATTATTCTTTTTGTTCCGCCAAACTTTGACAAAATTTCCCTCCATTACCGTAAGCCATGTCGCTTTCAGGTTCACACTTTGTATCGGTGTCATAAATACCTATCCGGAACTTACCCTGTGAGACGTAAAATTTTGTCGGTCCGGAGCTATCCCTCCGAAACCTAAAAACCTTGTTATCATTCAAACACCGTAACCGTAATATGTACAAAAAAACCGAAGGGTGAAATTTGTTCAGGACCAGACCACGGTTCTTCGTTACATTTGGATCGAAAAGATTAAACGACTCATTGGTAGGGTTATGCCCCTTTGAAAATTAACCGCATTCGGTTGGCCCCCAAAACTCAGAAACCGTAAGTCGTAGACACCTAAGATCTTCACCAATCATCATCAATTGATGTGACCATGAAAAATATCTCAAGGTCAAATTTGTATGTTGACCTTGACCTTTGAACTAACACCTTGTAATGGGATAATCTCAGAAACCATTATACTTACAGAAGTTTTGAATAGTGGGAAATGTTTGGGTCATAAAGGCGCAACTTCGGTAAAATTATGACCGAAAAGATTTGACCTTTCTATAAGGGGCATAACCCCTCATTTGTGATTTTAAAAAAACAAAATCAGCTTTTACTGTTAAACCAAAGGTCCTAGACCCATGGGGTCTTCAACAATGACATTTGGGACCAATGACCTTGAAAAAATTCACAAGGTCAAATGTCAAGGTCAAGTCCAAGAGCGAATTATGTGTTTTTGACCTTATTTAAAGAATTTTTAGTGTGTTTTAAAGCTTTTTAAGGTTGACCTTGACCTTTGACCTTACAACTTTTTATTGGATATTTCAAAAACGACTATACGTACAGAAAAAGTAAATAGTGAAAAATGTTAAGGTGACTAAGGCACAACTTTTTTACATTATGACCGAAGAGATTTGACATATCATTAAGGGGCATAACCTTCGTTAACGCTTTTTGAAAAGACAAAATTAGCTTTAACTCTTGAACTAAAGGTCCTATACCCATGGGATCTTTTATAATGACATCGTGGACCAATGACCTTCACAAAGGTCACAAGGTCAAAAGTCAAGGTCATGTCCTAAATAGCGAATTTGTTGTTTTTTGTCATATTTGAACTGTTTTATGTGTGTTTGAGAGCTTTTCAATGCATTTTACGTCTATTGGGACATGTATTTTACATTACGAAAAGGAAAGACCTCTCAATTGTTCAAGAACAATTGACATTCTAATTATTATTATTCTTTTTCCGCCAAACTTTGAGGAAGTTAGCAGCCTTAACCGTAAGACGTGTCGCTTTCATGTTCACACTTTGTATCGGTGTCATAAATACCTATCCGGAACTCACCCTATGAGTCGAAACATTTTGTCGGTTCGGAGTAATCCCTCTGAAACCTAAAAACCTTGTAATCATTTAAACACCGTAACCGTAATAGGTAGAAAAAACCGAAGGGTGAAATTTGTTCAGGACAAGACCCCGGTTCTTCGTTACATTTGGATTGAAAAGATTCAACGACTCATTGGTAGGGTTATGTCGCTATGAAAATTAACCGCAGTGGGTTGGCCCCCAAAACTCAGAAACCGTAAGTCGTAGACACCTAGGATCTTCAACAGTCATCATCCATTGATGTGACTCTGAAAAATATCTCAAGGTCAAATTTGTATGTTGACCTTGACCTTCGACCTCATACCTTGTTATGGGATAATCTCAGAAACCATTATACTTACAGAAGTTTTGAATAGTGGGAAATGTTTGGGTCATTAAGGCGCAACTTCGTTACATTTGACCGAAAAGATTTGACCTTTCTATAAGGGGCATAACCCTTAGTTAAGGTTTCTAAAAAGACAAAATCAGGCTTTACTGTTAAACCAAAGGTCCTAGACCCATGGGGTCTTCAGCAATGACAATTTGGACTAATGACCTTGACAAAGGTCAAAAGGTCAAAGGTCAAGGTCATGTCCCAGATAGCGAATTATGTGTTTCTGACCTTATTTAAATGATGTTTAGTGTGTTTTAAAGCTTTTTGAGGTTGACCTTGAAATTTGACCTTAAAACTTATTTATTAGATATCTCAAAAACGATAATATTTACAGAAATAGTAAATAGTGAAAAATAATTGGGTCATTAAGGCGCAACTTCGTTACATTTGACCGAAAAGATTTGACCTTTCTATAAGGGGCATAACCCTTAGTTAAAGTTTCTAAAAAGACAAAATCAGGCTTTACTGTTAAACCAAAGGTCCTACACCCATGGGGTCTTCAGCAATGACAATTTGGACTAATGACCTTGACAAAGGTCAAAAGGTCAAAGGTCAAGGTCATGTCCCAGATAGCGAATTATGTGTTTCTGACCTTATTTAAATGATGTTTAGTGTGTTTTAAAGCTTTTTGAGGTTGACCTTGAAATTTGACCTTAAAACTTATTTATTAGATATCTCAAAAACGATAATATTTACAGAAATAGTAAATAGTGAAAAATAATTGGGACATAAAGGCGCAACTTTTTTACATTTTGACCGAAGAGATTTGACCTATCCGTAACGGGCATAACCCCTGTTAACTGTTTTATAAAAGACAAAATAAGCTTTAACTCATGAACCAAAGGTCTTAGACCCATGGGGTCTTTTCTTATGACATAGTGAACCAATGACCTTGACAAAGGTCATGAGGTCAAAAGTCAAGGTCATGTCCAAAATTCCGAATTATGTGTTTTTGACCATATTTTAAGGGTTTTGTGTGTGTTTTAGAACTTTTTAATGCACTATACGCTTATTTAAACATATATGTTACATAATGAAAAGGAAAGACCTCTTTCTTGAACAATTGACATTTTAATTATTTCTACATTCTGACGTAACTTATTACAAAGCGAAGTCCTTCATACCATTTTAGAAAGGTTAAACATGTTACATACTATTATGTTATAATTTTGTAAATGTCTGCACTAAATCCAGAATTTTGAACTGAATGGTCTGTTGTAAAAGTAATGTACATGTATCTGACAGTCGTTTCTAGGTCTGATGGTATATTTTTTCCATTGAAAGATCCCAGAAGATTGCTTGCTGACGCTCCATTGTATATCTTGAAAGAAAAATGCATTACCGATAACTAATTGTTTTGTTATGTATATGCATAATGAGAATGTCTATTGGAAATATTTTCTGTTTCATTTGAATTTTGTGTTATCATTTAAATGGTTGTATACGTTTTCATCATGACGATTTCAATGAAGGTAAACAATCTAAATGAAACCACATTAAATTTACCGTTTGGATCAGATATAACCTCTCGTTAGAACTGTCAGAATAATCTGCCATAGAAATGTTGTAGTACTAGAATCAGTTCTAGGGTGGAACTGTCAAAATGAGTTCTAGATTAGAATTATAAAAACATTGTTCTATAGTAACATGATATAAAACAGCTATCTGATCAAGATAAAGAACAGCGAGAGTAACTGGATTTTCTCTGTTAATCATGTTGATAAATCTTTAATACGATAGTTTTATGTGTATGCTTATGTTCTGAGATTTTTCCATGTTTATAGTCATTTTTAATCAAACATACCATTTTAGGAAAATATTTGGACTATTTTAAAAAGTAAAATATTTGAATTAAACAGTGACCATATAATAAATTTCTCTGGCAGTATGTTTGAATCCGAATGTACCTGCATTATGCAAACTTATGTATGCAATGATACATTTGTGGTTTACTTTTGCTCTGTAAAGTTTAGCAACTGCTAATATAAAAAAATCTACAAACCTTTACAAAATCACAACAGGCCTCAAGGTCGAATCTGGTAAATTTTATTTTGACTTTGTTTCTACTGCCAGCATCGATAGTCCAAGCTAAATTTAGATTACTGGTATAGGCTGACGGAAATCTTGGAGATGTTATCGTTTTATCAAACAAATCTTTAATTAAATACAAAAAGAAATTTTAATGTTCATAAGAATGGTCAATTAGGAGATGGTAATATTCAACAAATAAAAGATATTAAGTTCTTCAAGGGATTTTAATTGTTACACATATGTTAGATTCGAGTAAGTATAAACATGTAGATAATAATATGGCGCAGGTTTTTTCAAAAGTGATGATTTTCTAAAAATTGTTTAATATTTCACAGTGGTATCATACTTTAACTTTGTTTAATAAAATTGAGAATGGAAATGGGGAATGTGTCAAAGAGACAACAACCCGACCATAGAGCAGACAACAGCCGAAGGCCACCAATGAGTCTTTAATGCAGCGAGAAACTCCCGCACTCGGAGGCGTCCTTCAGCTGGCCCCTAAACAAATATGTACACTAGTTCAGTGAAAATGGACGTCATACTAAACTCCAAATTATACACAAGAAATTAGAATTAAAAATGATACAAGACTAACAAAGGCTAGAGGCTCCTGACTTGGGACAGGCGCAAAAATAAATTAAACCTATTTATTTACTTTTGACCTTAATTATTTATCCCTTATAATTTTTATTAACTATGTATTTGCATTCAGGTATCACAGATCAAATTTATTCGATCATTGTGTGTTAATTTACGTTTTTTTGATTGAGTTAAGCCTTCAAATTGATATTTTATAGTGTGTCTTTCTATGTTGCGATACTATTGTTTCAGAAAAGGGAGAAGGTTTGGTACCATTAAAACGTTTAATCCCGCTGCAAATGTTTGCACCTGTCCTAAGTCAGGAATCTGATGTACAGTAGTTGTCTTCTGTTTATGTAGTTCATACGTGTTTCTCGTTGCTCGTTTTTATATAGATTAGACCGTTGGCTTTCCCGTTTGAATGGTTTCACACTATTACTTTTTTGAGCTCTTTTTAGCTTGCTGTTCGGTGTGAGCCAATGCTCCGTGTTAAAGGCCGCACCTTGATCTATAATGGTTTACTTTTATAAATTGTTACTTGGATGGAGAGTTGTCTCATTGGCACTCATACCACATCTTCCTATATCTATGTTAAAAGCAATTAATACAATCCAGAAATTGTATTTGTTAGCTATAATGCCAACATGTTTTCTGTATATAAACATTAGAAGCTGTGGTATAATTGCCAATGAGACAACTCTCCACCAGAGACCAAATGAAATAGAAGTTACTAAGAATAGGTCACCGTACGGGGCCTTCAACAAAACCCATACCGCATAGTCAGCTATAAAAAGCCCCTAAAGGACAAATGTAAAACAATTCAAACGGGAAAACTAACAGCCTGATTTATGTAAAAAACAATGAACGGAATACAAATATGATCTACAGCGACAAAAGACAACCACTGACAGGCTCCTGACTTAGGACAGACACATACAGGATGTGGCGGGCTTAAACATGTTATAGGGCGCCCAACCCTCCATCTTACCTGGGAAAGTGCCGAAACAGTACAAGATATGAACAAACTATAAAAATCAGTTTGAAAGGGCTCAACTCATCATATACCTACCTATTTTTGTGTGGTTTTTGTGTCTTTTTTTTTTACCTTTTTAATATCTGTTTGATTAATTTATTAATCCTCTAAATTTCAATATGTGATTTCTATGATAACGATGTGGTTATGATATTTTCCACCTGTAAATTGACAGCAACATTTGCTTTATGTGAAATGACAAGTTTCAGCTATAGATTTGTATGAAAGACCTGTACATTAGGAAACTTGTGAACAAGACGTTATGAATAAGGTGTGTCAACATTTCTTCATTATTGAAGGTTTATGAATTCTTACTAGTATTTAACATAAAAAATATGCAATATCGAAGGATGAATGTATCACATAAAATGTCCGAAATATAAATGTACAGTTTGTAAGATTTATTAAATGTTTAATAAAAGAAGCTATTTAAAAAATCTCCACCGTTGAAAATCTGTTGTCTTTGTATCTCCAGATGTATAATTTTGCCTATAAAAGGATTAATAATATCACAACGTTGATTAAAATTTTGTCAGTAGGAAATCACGGCCCCATTACTTTTTTATTTATTCAAAACAAATCAGGTACGTCGAATCGGGTCTGTCTACTTGATAATATATTGTATTGCATGTTATGTGATCATTTGTATAAGTTTATAAGATTAGAATTACTAAAACCATTAAAGGAATTTAGTATAGTGTACATATATCTTTTTCTTGAATAACAATAACCGTCATCTATAGACTATATCTTTTTTTTGGAAAAGGCCACTCATGAACCGATATTTTTCCACCCTTAAACTACTGACGTTTTTTTTTTTTTTTTTTTTTTATTTCATTGTTATTTTATAAAGTAGGATGGCTTGTTTTACACTAATTGTTAACGTTTCATTTAAGAACAAGCACACAGATATATGAAATGCGAGGTTTTGTAAACTAAAATAGCAATTATATGGAATCTGAATTGCGAAAAGTAAAATGATCGAAGCCTTTAAAAATCTCTTTAAATTTGTTGACGAATGAGCCATACCTATATGTAGGACAAAAAAAAACCAAAATAAACAAATAAACTCATCATAGATACCAGGATTGAAATTTTGTATTTGCGCCAGACGCGCGTTTCGTCTACAAAAGACTCATCAGTGACGCTCGAACCAAAAAAGGTTAAAAAGGCCAAATAAAGTACGAAGTTGAAGAGCATTGAGGACCAAACATTCTTAAAGTTTTGCCATATACAGCAAAGGTAATCTATTCTTGAGGTAGAAAAGCCTTAGTATTTCAAAAATTCAAAGTTTTAAAAACAGTTAATTTATAATTATGACCATGTCAATGATAATTCATGTCAACACAGAAGTGTTGACTAATGGGCTTACGATACCCTCGGGGAATAAAAACTCCACCAGCAGTGGCATCGACCCAGTGGTTGTAAATAAACTCATAATAAATACCAGGATTGAAATTTTGTATTTACGCCAGACGCGCGATATCTGACAGACTAATGTCTTATGAACATCTGACAGATTTATAATACCTTATGATTTGAGATAATATACCGTTTGCGTAGCAATAAAAGACTAAACATTTTCGTCAAATAGTTGATTGATTGATTTTTTGGTGTTTAGGGTCACATTCAGCATTATTGGCTATTTTGTAGAGGCCAGTTGTTTATTGATGGAGGAAACCGGAGAGCTCGGAGAGAACAACAGACTTTTGGCAGGAAAATTTGCAATCTTGATAATTTAAAAGATTAGAGTCGAACGCATATGCAACGTCAGGGGTTCTAACTTACAACCTTGGTGTTGACAGGATAGCGATACTGTAGTTAAACTACTTAGACCACTTGGCCACGAAGGCCCTTCGTCACATAAGTATTTCATAGTACACCAAGTGACTTCATTGTTTATACAATTCTTTTAAATTATTTTTGATATACCTTTTCAAAATTTTAAATGCATTAGCTGAAGTTGCTTTAACTAACATATATTTTACTTGACTTCATATTCATATTACAACAATATAGAAAAACTTAAATTCAGACATTTCATATTGAATTTTCGCACTAGATTATATATCATGTATATGTTGTGACAACATTTCTCAATTTACCAACTATTGCTACCATATATATCTCAGATTTTTAATCAACTTGAAATAAAAATCAAAAGTATTACTGAATTTAATAAGACATTCATAACATACTTTTTAAAAATTCTCCGTTGATAAAATAAGGAATTATTTCGAACCTAAAGTTTCAAGTCCTTTATATAAATTTTGCTTTTGTTTAAGTGCATTTTTAGCTTAAAGCTACTCTCATAGTTATGTATTTATATATTATTGGATTTATATTGGGTTGAGCGTTCTGATGAAGGTTAATCAGAATAAGCACTTTCGACGAACGAAGTTTATCCAGTGTTTTTTTTTCACATTGAAATTTATATTGAAAGTAGAGCTTTTCAATTGTCATATTGAAACTAAAGATTTGTTGATAACGGTTACAATTCTACAGCTGTTATTTAATCACTGGTCTAACTGCATTCTGTTTAACTGTTCTGATATTGTGAACGATATTATTATTGTATTAGGAACATGACGTTGTTGTATGAAATAACCTATGAATTTTAAATATCGAGTGTAAAAAATTGATCAAAGATACTAGGAATGTAGTATAAAAAACCGAGTATAAAACGGCATATCAGCTGATAACTTACGTTGAGTTTGCTTTCATTAATTTTTAATGTGCTGTAATAAGGCATATTGTACTTTTTATTATTTATTCTATTAGTTTGATGTGTTTGAGCTTTTGATTTTGCCTTATGATAAAAGACTTTCCGATTTGAATTTTCCTTGGAGTTCGGTATTTTTGTTATTTTACTTTTTATTTGGTTTAAACTTTTGATCTTGGTACTCGTAACTGTTATAGCGTTATGTAAGAGTAAAACGCTGACATCATTTTGATTATATGATCTTTTGTATAGGAGAGAGGTGAAAGATACTAAAGGGATATTCAAACTCATAAGTCGAGAATAAACATGGAACAAAATGGCAAAAAAAGAAAAAAGAAAAAGACAAAAAAAACAAAAAAAAACAACAGTACTCAAAACATAACAAAGAAAAATAAAGACTGAACAACTCGAACCCCACAAAAAAAAATTGTGCTCCGGAAAGGGTAAGCAGATCCTACTCCACATGTGACACCCCGTTGTGTTGCCCATGTAAGTACAAACCCGGTGATAAGTCTAATTTGGTAGGTCACATTCGGGGGAAAGAGGAAAGGATTGTGTTTACGATAATTGGAACATATCCGTCGTCATCTGTGGGTTCGAAAAAAAGAAAAACAAAGAGAAAAAATTAGTGAAAAATACTATATATTTATACTGAAATGTTTTTTTTTTATTCTATTAGAAAAGTTTTAGCTTTTGCATTGCATTTGAGTAATATGAGTCATGACCAAAATTTTAAAATTGATTTAAACTTTAAGAGTAAGACAATTATATTCAAATTTGAAATACAAGCAGTAAATCTAATATGAGCTTATAAATGGAGACAATTGAATAAGCATAGAACAACAAAAATACCAGACAGCCAATATCGAACAATAACAGTTATTTGTTTTGCATGCATGTATTAAGTTTTATTAAGTGGGGTTACCTTTATGATGTTTATTAGAAACATATACCACTTATTTGTATTGTCCTACTTTATTCAAATTTAAATTGCTGCTTCATGTAAATATCAAATTCTTAAATGCAAGTCTTCTATACAAAGCAAATTCTTAATCAAATAGAACATGGGATGCGCTTGATTGACGCCACATTTAATCTTGCAACGTGGACTGTATTTACAACAATGCCGCAGATCAAAATTGATGGATGAGTTGCTAGGAAACTTGATTAAATCATGTAAAAAGTAATTTTACATATATCTGTTAATTCTTTTTTGTTATTTTTCTTCTTGTGAACACAACTGACCTGATCTGAACTCGGTTTGTTATCAAAATGAAAGGCAGCTGAAAAGGACCTTTTCAGTTTAAAAAGGGCAATATTTTGATTTGCTCACTAAACATATCACATTCATCGAATTGAATTCAGATGTTCATGGCTGTATTCTATTTATGTTTCATCCGTGAAAGCATAAAATGATATTATATAGTCAGTTCGTGTCTTCAAAACTGGTCGTCGCATTTGTTCAAAACTGAATGATAGAATTGAGAATGGAAACGGGGAACGTGTCAAAGAGACAACAATCCCACCAAAGTGCAGAAAACAGCCCCGGGCCACCAATGTTTCATTTAAAGGAAGTTTAGAATTTTAATTCAATCTATAATCAATTTTTATTTAATATCAATAATCTTATTTTAGAATTAAACCGATAAAGAATATAAGAATTTGATAAATAAATGAACAAAATCAAAAGTTGTTTAAAGTGAATGCATATTTAAATGATAAGTTATAAAGGCGCATCCAAACCGCCTTTCTGGAGTTTCTTCCACAGATGATTTTATGATTTGTAATGAACCTTTTCGAAGCAGTAAATTGCCTTTTATGTAAATTAATGATGTAACTAACGATCTAACTTAACACCTTCTTTAATTAACAGTTTTAAAAATCAGAGTATAACTAAGATCTGTCCATTGGAAAAACATATATTTGTCTTTTTATTTATATTCTTCTTGGTATATTGAATTTTCAAATTTAATTTAAATGTGTTTAAAAGAAACGAAACACTCATGGAAATCAATCTTTGATAAATTCGCCTCTTGTTTATAATCTACATTCGCCACTTTGTAACTAGTACATTATATTACCTTCACATCGGTTGCCCTGGAGTCCGGATGGACATCTGCATGCATAACCGCTACCTGATACAGAGCATGTTCCACATCTACAAGGGTTTGACGCGCAGGGAGTCACTAAAATGTCATAAAAAATGTTAAAATCTTTTGAGAATGAAATGATCATATGTTTTGTTTGTGATGTTGTTCAACTGCATAAAAAATTATTATTTCAATATGACACACGTTTTGTTATGCATTGAAAGTATGTTTCCCGTAATTACACAATATCATGTTTACTTTCCTAGGAAAAGAAGACGTTTCTATCTAAATACTAAAAAAATGAACCAAAGTCTGTACCCATAGATCGTCAAACAACGCAATGATCAAAACAAAAATGACACAACACTGGTAGCACTGATGACGGTGTTCAGTATACGTAAACATCAGTTTTGATTATAAGTCATATTTGCAACGTTGCATTTTCCCATTTTTGTCTCCTCAGTTTTGAGAGGCAAACTATCATCTTCCCCAGCTAACGAATATACTGTATCATACCAGTTAGTACAATATACAGCTTTATACCTCGATTAACAAGAATTACTATTCTGACAGCGAATGCTATTGAAATGAACACGATATATGTTTTTGTAACTTTTCGTTTTGTTGTGCTACATAACTTGAAATAGATATTATAAAATAAATATCAAAGTTGGTGAAATTTGTACCTTCACAAAATCTCCCTGAAAACCCAGACTTGCACGTACATCTAAAGTAACGATTTACAATGGAGCAAGTTCCCTGGTTCAAACAGATGTTTCCACTGCAAGGTGTAACTGTAATACAAAGTTATCTCTGTAAAGTTCATAAGGAATTTAGATTTATTTACTACTGTCCTATCCACTATTTATATTTACTCTCCTCCGTTGATTTTGCATTTTAAATGTTTTGAGTCGAGCGAGCGATTGATAAGTTTTACGTCGTTGGTGTTTGGCTTTCATAATTATAATCCATTAATCGCTAATGGCTTTAAGATTACTTTTTATATATTATTGAGTATTTTCAGTAGCTTGGATTCACGCACCAGTGACGGGAAACATTTGTTTTATTAAATTTAAATACTTTTTAGCAGAAGTGTTAATCGTATAGCTTATTCTGCTTCAAAACACGATTACTATATATGTTATTGATACGACCCAAAGAACACTGTGTTTTAATTAGTGTTGTTAAATTAAACATCTTTACTTTACGTGTTACTCGTATAATCATTCCACCGATTAACCGCGTTTAACAGGTATGAAAGTTAATGTTCAAAGAAAATCGTAACTAAGGTAATGAAATATGGTCATATTTGCTCTTCTTCCGACCTACAGTCTAATACTTGCAAAAGCTGGCCGTCCGTTTAGGTGTACGGGAAGTATGATTCGCAGCACGTCTGGTCAGAATGGGAACATTAAATTCAATGCCTCATGAAGAGAAAGTGTCGCACTCTTTGAACCTTAATAACCTGTACAGCAGCTCTTTGAAGGGTCATTAAGGGCCTGTTGCAAGGCTTCATTTCTGTCCCTATCAAATATACCCCCATTTTCATGTAGCATTTCAAATGTCTGACCCCTAATACCGGTCGACCCCTATTGCAGGAACTGTCTATTGAATTAATTGTTAATTTATTCTAATCCTGAATATGCATGAAATGGCTGCAGTACTTTATCACGGTGTATGGTTATAAAACATAATGTATTAACGTTTATCGTCACTCCTTTTCTTAAAATATTGTGTATATAAAAATAAGGAGATGTGGTATGATTGCCAATGAAACAACTATCCACCAAAGATTAAATAAAGTGGATGATCATGTAAGCAATTATAGGCAACCGTACGGCCTTTAACATTGAGAAAAATCTAACCATACAGTCGGCTATAAAAGGCCTCGACATGAAAAATATGAAACAATTCAGTTGAGAAATATAGTTCATTTCTGCATGTGCTGGAACGCCCAGTATAAATATTTCACATTTTTTAAATCAACATTTCTTTGGAAATATTATCAAACCTACATGTAGGATGTGGTTGATTTGCGTTATTACATTTATGCTCACTCAATATTAAGTTAAAATGAAATGAACAACTAAATCGTAAAATTTGATCAGTTTACAGCTACCCAATATATATTTTCTTCTTCACACCTTTACAAGTTATGTTTACTTATTTTTTTGTCCCATGCTGATACTTAACACAGTGTCTCCGTGCTCATTAACTAAGGTTACATTGGAATGTGTTCATTGTAAATTAAGTCACAAATGTACTGGATAATTGATCTCTTTGAAGTACCACGATGATCATGTTAAAATATTAGTATTATTTTTTTATGATTTCAATATAAAATTGAGAATGGAAACGGGGAATGTGTCAAAGAGACAACAACCCGACAAAAGGGAAGCCCAAGGCCACCAATGGGTCTTTAACACAGCACGAAAATCCTGCACCCGGAGTCGGGGTTTAGCTGGCCCCTCAACAATAATGTGTACTAGTTCAGCGAACATAGACGTCACACTTAACTCCGAAACATATAAATGAACCAGAATTAAAAAAAAAAAAACACACAAGACTAACAAAGGCCAGAGGTTCCTGACTTGGGACAAGCGCAAAAATGCAGCAGGGTTAAACATGTTTTGTGAGATCGCAACCCTCCCACTATACCTCTAGCCAATCTGGAATAAACAAACACTCAGCAATACGCACAGTAAAACTCAGTTTAAAAGAAGTCCGAGTCCGATGTTAGAAAAGATAAAAGAGGAAACTAAGCAAAATGCCAATGATCAACTCAAATCAACAAAGACTACAAATAGTTACTGACATGCCAGCTTCAGACCTCAACTAAATGACTGAAAGATTATTTCTTTATCATATGAAAATGTATATAGAAACTATTACAATTGTAAAGGGTCCGATTAACCGGTTAATGATTTTGGTACTCGATATTCGGTCCTTCCAACGGTTAATCGTTGACAACACTAGTTTTATTGCATGGATCAGCAAATTGGAAAAACAGTCTGATGTCTTTATATTTCATATTCAGTATTTTAGTTAAAAGTTATTAAGTTGTTTGTTCGTTGTGGTCTGATTGAAAATATTTTGGCAATGAGTAGCTATAGAATCTTTAATTTGTTAATCAGATTCTTTTTTTTATTGTGTGTAATAATATGGTTGTAGGATCATAATCAAGGTTTTACTTTATCAATTGTTAAAATAAGTAAAACTATGAATTAGTTACTTATAGACTGTGTGCAGCTATGTTTTGATAATAAACTGCAAGGAATGTCTGCATCTAAATTCATTATAAAAAATCTCTTGAATATTGATAATGCGTTGCCAATTAGGTCATGATGTATGTTATGGATGAATCTGTTCACATATATATATCTGATAATTTTACATTCAAATGTCTTGCTTAAATTTTGTTAGCAGTTTTTTTTTTATTTTTCAATTTCGATATTGTTTCTGCATGTCTTGTATCTCCTTTGTTCTATCAAACGATGCTTTTACTACATCATTTATCACTTTGTAAAGTTTACCGGTAGTAGAATATACAAGTCTAATGGTTTATGTACGGATCGACTGATTTATCACGGATTGATTGATTGATGCTTAGTTATCGTCTAGTGTAAAATATAAGAGGCATATTCTTGACGGAATTTATCTCTTTACTAGACTCATTTACGTCTTTCCACACTAATTACACATGTAAGACAGCGAGTATCAATAGTGAATCAGGAATTGATGCCCCTCTTGATGACTTGTGTCGAACCTTCAATTTAGTCGGGATTGGTATCGCTCAATCCGGAGTTTTCTTTGATGTTTTGAGAGCTTTCTGTCTTTCTAATCATTCTTGACTCCGATTAATTTGCATTGAAACTTCATATAATTGTCTACATTTAAGAGTACTAAAATTATTGCTGAAAACGATCTGTCTACTAAAAAACAGTAAATAGTTGATCTACAATATTACAATGTAGTTTGAAAGAGAAGGAAAACATCTTATTACCCGTATAGTTCAAGCAGTACATATACATTTAAAACTATTTGAAGATTATTTACAGAACTGAAAATAGTCGTGTACCTTCACAACGTGTGCCTGAATATCCTGTCTGACATGCACATGCAAAAGTTCCATCCACACTCAAACATGTTCCTGAGTTTTGACAAGGATTACTTATGCACGGCGTTACTGAAATAGACAAAAAACCGCAATTTCGAAAGATGAATACAAATGGATTAATTACTGAAAATGATAAGATACCACAATAAGGAAGACTGATTTAACAGTGGGTGTAAAACTTCAGTATATTAACGCATTATAAATACGAGGAATACAATTTGTACGACAGACGCGCGTTTCTTCTGCAAAAGACTCATTAGTGACGCTAAAATCATAAAAAGTTAAAAAGGCAAAAATAAAGTATGCAGTTGGAGAACATTGAATACCCCAAATTCCGACTGGTTTTCAAATCCAGGCAAGGTAAACTATTCCTGTGGTATGTGTGCGCACTTTTTATGAAGTTGAATACTATAGGAAAAGTTGATTACCAAATCCCAACTTATGCCTTTTCACCAGAGCAACCACCAGTAATCACCTAACTATAAGCTGGTTTTGCCTTCGGTAGAAACCAACCCTAAATCCGACTGATTTTCGTTGCTCTTTAGATTATTTTATTCAAAGTTTTTACTTTTTATATCTGCTGACAAAGGTAATTAAAAATACGAGGTTTATATGAAGGATAATTAAGCTAATGTTTTTACATTATGTTTGTTCTTGAAAAAGAAATTCGTTATTATCATGTCACAAATTATAACGTGAACTTTGATTGTTGCTACATGTACCAAATTGCAATATACTTCCATAACGACGTCCGTAAATATGTCATAAATTTAACGTATCTTTGAAATTGTATTTTACATTTAATTTATATTGCATGGTGTCTTACCTTCACATGAGTCTCCAGAATATCCCTCAGGGCAACTGCAGGAGAAGTTACTGCTTGTCACAGAACATTTACCATTGTGAAGACATGGGTTGTTTGAACATGGTGTTTCTGGATACAAAAGCAATAGTTTTCAACAATAAAGAAACTGTCGACACATAAATATTTATCACTGTGTAACATGTAAACTATACAAAAGTTTCAAAGTCAATGGACAATGACTGAGGAACAGAGTCAAATAATCTCAATGCAAATGAGGTGTACCAATGGTACAACAACTGCTTACTAAATATCATTACTTGTTCACTTTAAACTAATCCAACAAAAACTTACACAATTGTTGAACAACTGACGGACGCCTTCTCATGTGGCGATGCCGGAAACAGTGCGCTTTATTTTTGCTTCCGTAAACTTCATCGAGGCTTGAAAAAAACCGTATCGTTGATTTATATTTATCAATAAATATTATGCTTAGACCACATGAGTTTTTACTGAGGTGTGATACCTCTGCCGATGGACTGTAAATCACCTGTCATATAGCCAATACTTCGATACTTGCAATAGCCAATATTTCAGTTCTTGCATGAAAATACGTTTATTGTCTTTTTGAAATTCCTGCTTTAAATGTGTGGTAATCAGTTTAGATTAAGGAATGTAATCTCCACTAGAATTGTGTGATTTCCTTTTCGAGTGATGTTTTAATTTTGATCCTTTTTGCGTTTATCAGCCATTCAATGTACCTAGCATGAGCATCGTGACGGATACTATAAAGATATGTCTACCCTTCCGGAACGCCTGCGATCACTCCCAGTTTGTGGTAGGGTTCATTTCGCTTAGTATTTAGTTTTCTATGTTGTATTTTGTGCATTTGTTATATGAGTTTTGGATGTTCCCTTCAGCTTTGTCCGTATCCTTTTGTCAACGTTAGAATAAAGTTTAGGACTTTCAAATATTTTGGCCTTGACCATCACTGAATAGACATTAATTGTCTAATGCAGAACAATGTGCACCATTCATAGTATTAAAAGATTTATGAATGATAGATAGGTTAATAAATAACTGCTGTATTACATATAGTCGTTAAATTCCTAGTACTTCAAAAAAAAGTCACGCTAATCTTATCCCTATAAAAATAAAATTGAGAACGGAAATGGGGAATGTGTCAAAGAGACAACAACCCGACCATAGAGCAGACAACAGCCGAAGGCCACCAATGGGTCTTCAATGCAGCGAGAAACTCCCGCACCCGGAGGCGTCCTTCAGCTGGCCCCTAAACAAATATGTATACTAGTTTAGTGATAATGGACGTCATACTAAACTCCAAATTATATCTATGTTCATTCTTTCCGTGAATTTAATTTTACGATAATTTTGTTAAGGAAAAAGATAAATGATGAGAGCGATAGAAAGTCTAATTCATATTCATCGTTAAACCATTTTTTGTAATTATTGCGGAATGTATTTGTTTAAATATAACAGTCAAAACAATTTTATCTACAAGGGTAATTCTTATTTACGATATATATATATATCTATATATATGTATATGTAAGTCAAATTCATTAACTGCTCAAACGCGGACAACTTTAATTATGGACTCCATACAGTGTCCATTTGATAATTTCGGTTTCTCCTGGTATGCAGGTATTTCTCAAGCTTTGAAAAACAAATTAACAGTGGCACAAAAACAAAACAGTACGTGTTTGTAAAAACATGGGCCCAGGAAATAGAATAAAACACATTGATTTATTTAGTTTAGGATTTTTTTTATTTTGAAACTAGAGTGGAAAAACTTCACCTGAATCATGTTTATAAGATCTTTGATAAAACATGTCCATCGAAATCAAGAAAAAATAATTTTCTAAAAATTAACAAACACCACAGACTATGTAACAACAAAATAAGACTTATCAAATCCACTCAATTTTTAAAATAATGCAACCAGGATTGGAATTCATAACCTGTTTCTATTGAATCTAACTCGCAGCTTCAAAAAGCTTAAAAAAAGAAAGAAGTCAAATGTCACTTGAATAGTATTAATAAGGAACGTGAAAAAAGACCCAATGTTAATAAGTTGGATGGGTTCCATAGGTTATCCCATAGGTTATCCTGGTTTAAAACATATCCAGCATTTGTTTCTAATATTGAAGTTTCAATGATCGATCGAGGGTTTATATTGTTGATACTGTTTTAACCAAAATATTTGTTATCTTTAACCCCTTACAAACAAACAAACACATCAGTAGAAAACATCGAAAAATATAAAATACCTCCACACAATGATCCAGTGAAGCCATTGCTACATGAACACTGACAGGTTGTTCCGAATACAGTTTTTGTTCCTCCATTATCACATGTAAAGCCACCACAAGGATCAACTGCAAGTGATAGTTTATTGTGAACGTTTCTCGTAGATGTTATTATTACCGCTTATACATGAGGTGATTATTTAAAGTAATAATTAAATCTTGTGTTAATCTTGGAGAAACAAGCAACAAAATCTGAATTTTTCTTGTAATCAGCAACACGACGAGTACCATTACAGGCGCAGGGACTGATTCCATTTCAGAAGCACTTGAGAGCAACCTTTTCTTTATTAGGAGTTCGTCTTGCTAATTCTTTAACTAATATCATTATAATGTGTTTAATGATTAACATATTGATCGGCTTTTGATCTTGCATGACAAATAGTAAAATGTAAAACATGTATCTCGTCATAAAATAAAAAAATGATTTAACTTCAAAGATTTAAATAAAAGTTTTTAATGATATACACATGTCCAGTAATTTCGAAACAGTCTTACAGGAGAATACAGATTCATGATTCATGGAATTAAAGTCTGAGTCTTAAAATGTTGACGAAAACAAAGTGCTTTACTAAGGAAGATATTGTGATTATCAAAGAAAAATATAAATCATTAATATGACTAACTTATGATACATTCATTAATAGATATTGTGATTTGTGACGTTGATGATGAATTTTAGATAAATTTCATTAAACTGTACCTTCACACCGTCTCCCAGAATATCCTGTTGGACAAGCACATACAAAGCTTCCATTTGCATTTAAACATAATCCAGAATCGCAAGGACTACTGCTGCATGATGTCACTTAAGCAAAGTCGAAAAAGAAATCTATATATTAGTAACAGTTTTTATTAGATTTCATTGTATCATTTTCTTTATCAGAGTAGTTATCAGCAAGGTAGCACATAAACATAACGATTTCTACATTGTATTCAGATGAATGCTTAATTCATATTGAATTAATTTCATAATGATTCTGTTGTCACATTGACAATAACGCCATCTGTTCACACATCAAACTATTTCTTACTTTTGAATTAAAAACTTTTAAACTCGTTTATAGAAAATGAAGGTATCCAAATCACTTTTACTTTATTAAGATACGGGTATTGCCTATGTAACAGTCGATTGGACACTTTTCCTACTTAGAAATTGTGTTTTCATCACAAAAAAAAAAACAATATTTAAATTATATAAGTTCATTAAAACCATTGCAACTAAACTCTTTGGAATTGAAACATTAATTGAATTATGTGTTCTCATAATTTTAATATTTTTTAACTAACCTTCACACAATGTGCCAGAATATCCCTCTGAACAACTACAACTAAATTGGTCTCCTGACACAGAACAACTGCCCTCGTGAAAACAAGGCTGGCTACTGCAAGGCGTTTCTTAAAAGAAATATGAATAAACCACAAATCAAAATTCGCCTCTTGCTAAACTATCACGGTTAATTGGAATTCGCATATCATGTTTATATGATATCAGTTTTATAATTCATCATTGTTTTTGAAATCGAATATAGTTTTTTTGTTATCGGTGTATCATTTATTAACCACCATGTTTAAATCTTTCTTGATCTTTGACGTTATACTAATGAGCAAATTTTGAATTTTCAGGTACACATTATATAACTTCGTCTGAAACAGTAACTTCCTCTCAATAGATCTTGTTTGTGCTGCTCTTTTTGAGATATAAGGTATCTGAAACTAAATTCACAACATTTGACATTGAATTTTTAAGATAAAATTGAAATTCACTCAGTTTAAACTGGTTAAAGTACTACTACCAAATGAATTTGTGCAAAAAGTAAAATCACAAAAATACCGAACTCCAAGGAAAATTCAAATCGGAAAGTCCCTAATGAAATGGCAAAATCAAAAGCTCAGACACATCAAACGAATGGAAAACAACTGTCATATTCCTGACTTTAAACATGCATTTCCTTATGTAGAAAATGGTGGATTAAACCTGGTTTTATAGCTAGCTGAACCTTTCACTTGCATGACAGTCGCATAAATTCCATTATATTGACAATTATGTGTGAACAAAACAAACAGACATTATAGGCAAAAATGTCAAAAATAGGGGTACAACAGTCAACATCGTGTTATAATCTAAATCACTATAAAGCAAACAAATATATCAACAAAGAAAAACAAAATGGCATATAGACAAAGCAAATAATCATAAATGAAAGACAATATTACAAAAAATGACCGCAGCACAACAACACCACATTAGCGGGATGCATAAGTACCGAGCCACGCAAAAAGGATATTACCAAAAATGGACTAAACAGTAAAGATGAATAATTTGCAATGTTCTTACAATGTTGAATTTTATAGTGTTCGTCCATCCCCACTGAATTTTAACATACTTCATAGATGAACATTGATCTGTTTTAATGTTTGAATGCAATGTTTTCAAACGTTATGTATAATGGACATGAAATGGTCACGTATAGGATGAACATAAAATAAGTTCACAAGAAGAGCAATACCTTCACACGATGATCCAGAGAAGCCACGTCTACATGTACACTGACAGGTTCTTCCTGATACAGATTTCGTTCCTCCATTATCACAAGTAAAACCATCACATGGATCAACTGTAAAATCAATTTATATATAAATGAGTTCTCAACTCAGTTGATGCTATTGGTTATCTTATTATTTACATTCTATGATGTTGATGCAGCAAAAAGTAAAAATGTCAACTGAATGATACTGAAAAAATGTTAGTGAACTACTTGTTGTCACACAAAAATAGTCTTAGATATTTTCGGTTGTATTCTGGAAATATGATCGTATTGAGTGGAGTGCAAATGTTAGTGTGTTTAATTCCTAACAAGATGAAAGGAAATACATGTAAAATATGGTGTTGCTAGTGTCTCTCTCCCATTGTTATCTTCCGCCTCTTTTCCCGTCGTTATTGAAACAGTTGCTTAAATTTCAATGATAAATCACCAACGAAAAGTGTTATGTTTCCACTTGAATAGTGAAAGTGCGTTACTTATCTTTTCTTCCAATTATTGAAGTCGTTGAGATGTTGGTAATATGAAATCAAATATAAAAGCTGTATTCCGTCTTATTAAAAAACTGATCAGCAATATTGCTAATAAAGGTTCACGATTTACAAATGACGGATAAATACGAAGCAATCTTACAAAGAGGATTAAGACTGGGAAATAATATTTTGGATTTAAAAAAATATCTCAGTCATATCCAATCTAAACACAAATAAAACAATTTAAAAATTGCAAGTTTTAACAGTGGAAAGCTATTTGTACCATTTACTAGTTGTCTTAAACAGAGTTGATAGATTCAAAAGAATGATATTGTTCTTGATTTACGACAAACGTGTTAAAAAATCATTACATAGTCCCATTTCCGCCTAGAAAACATTGGTCACATCCTTTGGTCAAAATAAATAGAAAGATTTATTTAAATAATATACACATAATAACAAATTAGATATGTTGATTTGTGCATGTTAGCAATATCATCAGAGCAGAAATTATCCAAACTCGCCTCATCGTGAATCCACATCTTCTGGTGGACTGATCCCGTAGCCAGTGCTTTCATTTTGCATGATAATCAGGATATTATTTTATTAATATTATGTTACAAAAATTAAGATATCAATTTTTAACAGCTAATTTATCTCCCTCGTGCATAGCTGTGATTTCTTCTCTTTGGTTGGTTAGGCTTTTTGTCTTTTTTTCAGTTGATATTAGCTCTTAAAATTTTTATTAGGTTTTGGATTTCAAACATTTTGGCATCAAGCATCACTAAGAATATACGTGCTTCAATTTCTATGATAATAGTTTTCTGATTTTTGAATAATTAGACCTTAATCATCTCTAAAGAGATAATAGTTGTGAAAATGCCTTTGTAGTACAGTAGTATTGGTACCACTAATGATGGGGATTTGTTATGTTTTTTTTACTGACGAAATGTTTAACAAACTGATAGAAATCTATTTAAATGTGATAAACACAAACCATTAACCTTATATGTGTTTTGAAAATTGATGTGAAAATATTATTCTGTAAATATACCTTCACAACGTTTACCGGAATATCCTTTGGGACAAAAACATGCATAGCTTCCGTTAGCATTTAAACATGATCCCGAATTTATACATGGACTACTGCTGCATGGTGTCACTAAAACGATATCAAGAAAATAACACTTTAGATTATTATTCGTCACCAGTGTCTGAGCCGAATGTTGATGAACCAGGGTTATGTCAAAGAAAGTCTTGTCCTTTTTCTCAAAAAGTTCATCAGAAGATACCAAGACCTTTTTGATAAATATTCAATACCAACTTTACAAATAATAAATGATGGTCTTGAAGTATATATTCTAAGTACTGACCTTGTTTATCATCTTAATCACGTGTTATAGTGTTCTTTGATTTGTCTTTGTAAATTATAAACCTTTACCGTTTAGTCCATTTTTTGGGTAATATCCTTTTGGCGTAGCTCAGTACTTATACATCCGGTCATTGTGTCATTGTGCTATAGTCATTTTTTGTATTCTTGTCTTTCATTTTTGCTTGTGTGCTTTGTCGATATGCCATTTTGTTTTTCTTTGTTGACAGTTTTTTTTTATAGTGATTAAGATTATAATACAATGTTGACTGCTGTACCCCTATTCTTTATATTTTAACATATTAATTGTTGTCAATATAATGAAATTTTAACTAGCTATAAAACCAGGTTTAATCCATTATTTTCCAAATAAGGAAATGCCTTTACCAAGTCAGGAATATGACAGTTGTTTTCCACTCGTTTGATTTGTTTGAGCTTTTGATTTTGCCATTAGAAAAGGGACTTTCCGTTTTGAATTTTCGTTGGGCTTCGGTATTTTTGTTATTTTACTTTTTGGATGCTATTTTCACCTTTGAATTTATTACTATATAAAACATTAGAACAATATATCAAGGAGTTCAAATATAATATGCATAACGATTCAACCATGTATCCGGATTTATGGTGAATGCTTATAATCTATGACGACTGCCACGTTGGTATAGAGGAAGCTTGCCCTTCTTCAATGCACGAGGTCATGTATCATATATATATATATATGTTACAGTAAATGTGTATAATTAAGGGTTTAGTATGATTCCTGAAATTTTTAGGGATTATGTATAATCACGGGTAACTAAAGGGATTATATATCAAAGTTCTGAAGTACTGAACATCGGATGACTGCAAGTTCTTGTGGATGGTCACAAGCACTTGTCTCAGATAACTGAAAGTGAGGTTAATGTACAGATATATTTTTTAATTCAACTCTCTTTGACATATTCCCCATTTCCATTCTCAATTTTATTTGTCTTTAGGAGTCTGACATATAATAAATTGTTTAATTTATTATAAAAAAGATGGTAAAACAAAAATTATAATTTTTTGTAAAAAGTCTGTCAAAGAGACAACAACCCGACCAAAGAGCAGACAACAGCCGAAGGCCACCAATGGGTCTTCAACGCAGCGAGAAAATCCCGCACCCGGAGGTGGTCCTCAGCTGGCCCCTAAATAAAATTGTGTACTAGTTCAGTGAAAATGGACGTCACACTAAACTCCCAAAAATATAAATGAACTAAAAATAATAAAAAAAAAAGACTAACAAAGGCCAGAGGCTCCTGACTTGGGATAGGCGCAAAAATGCGGCAGGGTTAAACATGTTTTGTGAAATCTCAACCCTCCCCCTATACCTCTAGCCAATGTAGAATAAAGAAACACATAGCAATACGAACAGTGAAACTTAGTTTTAAAGAAGTCCGAGTCCAATATCAGAATAGGTAACAAAAGGAACTAAGCAAAATGACAATGATACATAAATGAACAAAGGACTACTAGCAGTTACTGACATGCCAGCTCCAGACCTCAATTAAACTGATTGAAAGATTATGTCTTCATCATATGAATATCAGGCACAATGTATATATAATTTTCATCCATTTGCATATCATTCTATTCTACTAAATTAATAATAGTGCAGTGCAAGTGCATGGTGGACAAATAAACGGATCACCGATGTTATAAATGGATCTTAATTATAAATTTAATACTAAACAGAAAACAATAAACTTGCGGAATTCCGCAATCACCAATGGCAGTCAGCAGGGTTTAAGAACATTTGTTGTTCGACCTGTTAGTCAAATACGTTTTGTTAAAATATACTTTTTCACTTTTTTTGTCTTTTGAAAAATGTTTGTGCTATATATATATATATATATATATATATGGATCCCGAGCTAAGTCTAACCGAAGACTCTTATATGAACGTGAATTTGCTCGAGTTCTTTTGTGCACGCAGAATTTCAGATTTGTTATGAAGCACATTTACAACTGGTATCTGTTTGTCTAGTAAAAAGCAGGATACATTCTGAGTATGCATGTACATGTAATGTGTGCAAATGGATGTAAGGCCACCGTCTTTTCATCTATATTTCCGTACTAGCTCCGTGTTGAAGCCGGTACTTTGACCTATAATTGTTTACTTTTCACACATTGTGACTTGGATGGAGTGTTGTCTCATTGGCACTCATACCACATCTTCTTATTAATACATGTAGCTTTGGTATTGATTTGTTTTGTATTAAAATTGATACAGTATAGCAAACATTCCAAATACTCTATTGTCATTGTAATGTTAAACATTTCTTTTCGATGTATATGTAAAGTAGGCACTTTAAAGTAGATAAAAATGAAATATTTGATGTTATGTTCATGAAGTCTTTGCAACAAAACATTAGTGGTATATATTTTTCAGTTTTTTCTTCGTAGGTACGGTTGGTGAAAACATCGTCATCAAAATAAGGAGATGGTATGATTGCCAATGAGACAACTATCCATCAAAGTTCAAATGAAGTGGATGTAAACAAATATAGGCAACCGTACGGACGTCAACCATGAGAAAATCTCATACCGTATAGTCAGCTATAAAAGCCCCCCCCCCCCCCCCCCCACAGGAAAAATATGAAACAAATCACTTGAGAAAACTAACGGCGGTCTAGTCTATAACAAAACAATTTATGGAACAAAAAATGATCGACATGAACGAACGACTACCTCTGAACTACAGGCTTTAGAAATAAAATATCAATCAGTATACATCCAACATCCAATGGATTTAGTGTAAAGATATCATTAACAGTCAAAGAAAACATGACCTCGTGCAATGCCAAAATACAGATTGTAGTACCCTGATTGTATATATGTGTATGACAAAAATATTTAGTGTGGTTTTAATTTACCGATAACAAAATCAATATTAATACCAATAAAAACAGTATTTCATGGATCTAATTACAGTGTTGAATTGATAATAGCCTTTAGAATACGTTTATTCAAATGATTGATAAGTTTACCCCGATCGTCATTAAATGTCCGGGCTTGGTAAAAAAAAAACATCACAGTAAAATTAGGATGTGCTATTCCGTTTGAAATAAGTTTACTACAGATACAGTCAAACTTCCAAACCAAATCTTTGTATCTATGGAAGAATTCAGTTAAGGGTTTAAGTCATTTGTGGTAACCAAACCCCTGACTTAATCAACCGACATATCGAACGGGTTGGGATATATAAAAACCGTAAGATGGTGTAAAAGGAACACCCCCTTCCAAATAAAGAAAATTAACAATAGGGAAACAAATCGTCCCTTTTGTCGTAAATGTCTGTATAGAGTTTCTCGTGTCAAACGGAAGTATCTAAATCTCTAGGAAAGGACAGTTATTGCTGTTAATATTTGGTTTATTTAAAGTAAGTTCCTTTGGGTAAGTTTCAGCAGTATATTTAGAGAATTCTTGATGATTATTTAACGAAAAAATATCTCTTAACTTTTTGAGATATACACATTTGAACTGACTTGTGAGTCTATTTTTGGTAATATCTTTGTGGCATGGCTCGGTATTCATGCATCCCGCCAATGTGTTGTTGTGCTGTGTACATTTTATGTATTCTTGTCTTTCATGTTTGCTTATGTGCCATGTTGGTTTTCTTTGTTGACAAATTTGTTTGTTTTTATAGTGATTTAGATTATATCACAATGTTGACTGCTGTACCCATAATTTTGACATTTTTACCTATTCTGTCTGTTTGTTTTGTTCACACATTATTGTCAATATGATGAAATTTTATGAGACTGTCATACAAGTGAGAGGTTTAGCTAGCTATAAAACCAGGTTTAATCCACCATTTTCTACAAAAGGAAATGCCGGTACCAAAGAAGGTATATGACAGTTGTTTTCCATTCGTTTGATGTGTTTGAGCTTTCGATTTTGCCATTTGATAAGGGACTTTCCGATTTAAATTTTCCTTGAAGTTTGGTATTTTGGTTATTTTACTTTTTTTTAGTATGCATTTCATTTATGTTCTTGACTTAGTGCTTCCAATAGATAACAAATGCACAAAAGAACGTAAAATAGTTTCACAGTATATGATGATCTGCTTATTTAAACTTTTATTTGTTGAACGTACCTTCGCATAATTTGCCAGAAAATCCATTAGAACATTTGCAATTGAAGCTGTTTCCAGATAAAGAACAACTACCCTCATGCAAACAAGGCCGACTGCTACAAGGAGTCACTGAAAACAAAAATCAAAAAGTCCAAATTAGTGTGTATATTTCCTGTCGACGAACTTAATCACTTTATACATTTGGTAAGTACGAATTGTTTTCATGGAATCACCTTCGAGAGAAACGCTCAAAACCAAATCAATTTAGGATGTAATTGATGATTTATACGACAAACTGGAACCTTTGAAAAAGAGTCAAGCCATTTCAGGTGAACTTTTCTTGAGAACATCCTAACTTATAGAAACATGGTCAATTAAAATTTTCTAACATCAAAAATAAATTCCGTTCAATAGAAAGTACTGGTATGCTCTTTTGTGTTAAAAGGTATTCGAATAATTTACAGCGAAGCAGGTTAGAAGGTAAATTACCAAAGGTTATATTTAAATAAGTATTCCAATTTCGAAGTTCATTGTAACTTGGAATTTTTTTTATACAATTCTATAGTTAACGATGATAAATAAGGCGCGACTGTAGTCAACATGAAAAAAGACACATAAAACAGAAATACCTTCACATGATGATCCTGAAATACCACTTCTACATGTACACTGACAGGTTGTTGCTGATATAGTTTTTGTTCCTCCATTTTCACAAGGAAAACCGTCACACGGATCAACTGAGAATTACAATTAGATATATAAAAAGCGTTAATCATCATGTGAAATAATATTCATAATGTTAAGTTGTTCTGATATTCACGGAAAAAAATAAAGCCGTTTTGGTGGTTTTGTGATATGATCCTAACCTCGAGTTGAATAATTTGAAGCTTGGATTCAAGATCCGACCAAACACATTCTGAAATGGCAAGTTGCTGTGTTTGTGCTTTGCCTATAACAGATTTGGATCTAAAAGACCAATTTTTGACTGAAACAGTGCTCTTAAAAAGCTGTTTACAGGCTGAAGAATAAATTATTAAGCCTATTAAGTCTTTTATTCTGTCTTTTATTTTACTCTTCAGGTTCGTTAAATTTATTACAATTCAAAAATTCGCCGGTAATCATTTAAGATATGGTAAGATATGTTCAGTCTATGCCCAGACTGTTCGTTGTTATACGGCAGTTTAGGTCTAACATTCACTTACTATTCATTCCTTTTATCAGGTTCTCTCTTTCGAGAGAAAAACGTGGACCGAGTGAAATCTGTCTACTTTCTGTGAAATAGTTGCAATCTCAATTTTATTACAGTTTGCTCATCTTTATCTTGCAAATGAACACTCACAATGTTTAATGTAGATCATGTAGATGTCCAAGCCCATGTTTCTGGACAGATTGTACACTTAGCGTACAACAATCGTTCTGACTTTGAGATAGTTGTATATTGAACTAGTGGATTCAGATATCTTAAGGTGTTCCTGACCTCTACTGCATTTATATATGATTCATAACTATGCATTAATATTAAGAAAACTATTAAATTTTCTAACAAACTTATACATAGCTTATACATATTTTGTGATTTGTTCGTAAATACTGTTGAAATAACTTATGTACCCTCACAATATCTGCCAGAATATCCCATCGGACAAAAACATCCATAGCTGCCATTTACATTGACACATGATCCGGAATTCACACAAGGACTACTGCTGCATGGTGTCACTGGATAAAAAAAAAAAAAAAAAAAAAAACAACATTCAAATGTAAAAGGTTATAATTTTCGCATTTCGATATAAATTTATTTTATTTATGCTAACAATTTATCAATCAAATAACAAAATTCATTATGCTTTGAACATTGTTTTTGGAATTATAACAGATTACCGATTGTTTTTCAAGTAAGAAGGTGTTTCTCAGCTACAATCTCATCGTAGGACGATTAGATGAGATGTGAATGAGAAACATTCTCGAGTTTGAAAGACCGTTGTTTATCGCTATATTGCCTATGGCGTAATTGGTGTTTACATTGACAACGGTACATGCGCCCTTAGTTTCTAGCGATAATTTTCTTTCTCAAGCGATAAAAAATAGATCAAAGGAAAAATACACAAAATAGCGATAATATTAAATATGCATAATTCAATTTCTTTACAAGAACTGTCTTTACTTTATAATCTATGAAAACAAAATATCACAGTCAGTTTATAAAGTCGCCTCTAATAACAAGTGAGATTTAGAAAAAAAAGATGTAGTACATGTATGATTGTTTAATCATTGATATAGATGAAACGCGTTTTCAAATGATGCTTTTTCTTCATCAATATATTTTAGTTTAACTTACCTTCACATAATTTGCCCGAATATCCATTTGAACAATTGCAACTGAAGCTGTTTCCTGATATAGAACAACTACCATCATGAAAACAAGGCTGGTAACTACATGGGGTTACTGTAAATAACATCAAAATCAAAATTCAGCCTCACAGCTTGTTTAAATATTTCTTCAAGTAAGAAAAGTTTCAAGTCATGTAAATATGTTGCCTAGAATCCTACTTTTTTTAATCCTTAATATTACATCATATTGACTGGTTTCTAGTTCCTCTGTTTGATACGTACGCAAATATGGTTCCTTTGTTTTTATACACGAAAATGTAGTACATTTGTTTGATACATACGAAAAAGGTAATAAACCCTCTGATGTAAATTATATCTCTCGATTTCAAGATTTCCAGTATCAATTTCTTTATTTACCCTTAGTAAAGTTCATTCCTCTCTGTATTAATTGGGTGGCTTGCTATACTAAGTAAAATGGGTATTTAACTAAAAAATATAGGCTTTTGATGATTTTTGTACCTTAAAGTATTGTCCAGTTAACTTTCTCTCAATACTACTAAACAAATAATTATCTGACGAATGTACTAATATCAAACTTATAATCTGCGAGGATTGTTAGTCACTCTGAACTTTACTGCATTTATCGTTGATCCTTATAAATAATGTTCATTCGGTCTCGCTCCATTTTGGGTGCATGTGATTCATTCAGTTTTTGCTTGTCTTCTAAATCGATTTTAACATCAGTAAACTACTGCTACCGTTATCGATCTGTAACGGTGATTGCAGGCATTTAACTCACCAATTATTTAAAATGAAAATAAAATGGTAGCAACAAAAACGTCCACACAAATAAAAAATACCATCACACAATGATCCAGAGAAGCCACTTCTACATGTACATAGACAGGTTGTTCCTGATACAGTTTTTGTTCCTCCATTTTGGCAAGAAAAACCGTCACACGGATCAGCTGTGAAATTAATTTAGATATATAAATTTTAAATGATCCTCAAACTAATGTGAAATATTATTCCCGTCGTAGCGTTGTTCTCATTTTATGGAAAGAAATTCAATTAAACTGAATTGTTTTGCGGTCGTTTTAGTGCCTGTGTGATAGGGTCCTTGTTTACAGTGGATGGAATAGTATATGAATTCCCAGATCGGACCTATGAAAGACTTTGATATTGTAAATTGCTGGTTATTTGCCTTGAACGCAATACATTAAGATCAATGACTCGAGTGGTAGGGATCAAAGTTTTAATTTCCAAGTAAAACATTTGTCAGTATGAGAACTCATACAATAAATTTTCAATTAGGTGTGTCTGTCTTATGCAAAACTGTATACATTTTTATGATTTAGATATTTCAGCAATCTAAATAAAAACTACTCCTTGCTTTATTGAAATGCCATTTGATTACAAAAATGATCTACATGGCAAATATTTAACAGACTTTCGGCATTAAGGTCTAAATGGTATCTTTCTACATCGAAATGATGATGAGATAAGAAACTATGTCATCAAGATGATTAATATCAAACAAACTTTGGTAGATATTCGTATGATCACTTTAATTAATTAATGAAGTGACACTATAATCTTTAATTTGTACCTTCACATAATCTACCGGAATATCCTTTTGGACAAACACACACATAGCTGCCATTAGTATTTAAACATGATCCAGAATTAACACACGGCCTACCGCTGCATGGTGTCACTGGAGCGAAATTAGAAAGTACACAATTTAAATGTAATGCATAGAAGTTTTTACAGTAGTTTTCATATTTAAAGATAGATTTATATTATTTTTTAGCCAAAAAAGACATAGGTTACTATGAATTGTACCTGTTTTTTTGGTAATTTAGTGGGATATCATAAGATTCAAAACATTTTTTGTAGAGTTTATTGATGTACGAACTGGGGTGATTATCTCATCAACTAAATATAAGTCTGAAGGACTTTTTTGTTAAGTTTGTGAGTCAGAAACGCAGTTAACACACCAATAATTTTTTCGAAAAAATGTGTTAAATCCTTATAATTCTTAATGCAAACGTTTGCAATTTTTAATAAACAATTTTTTGTATTAGCCGTCAAATCCAGGGTCGTTGCTTAGGAGCAAGCCGCCATGTTGACCTACTGAAATCCATAAATGTTCGATTAATGCAATAAAAGTAAAGAATAAAACAACACTTTTCTCAAACACTTCATTTATTGATATATCATCCGAATTTGAAGCGTACAAGTAAGTGAATAAACTTCAGCTTGGTACTTTTCTTTTGTATGACGTCATTTTTGGCCATGACGTTAATTCGGCAACGTTATTCATGTAAAACTGAGAAATTTTATTTTATTTCAATCAATTCACATTTCTCTAGCTTTAATGCATTATTACTTTTTGTTATTTTGTTATGCATTAGAATAGGGAAAAAACTGTTCTGTATCATTTTTCTATTTCGATTTTCTTGGAACCCAAGGATCCTACGCATGTGTATATCTTATCGCGCATGAATATATTACAGTAAACATCGACCAAGTGTTTACATAGGTTACGGAAGTAGTTTCGGAAACACGGTTCATCTAGGTGTAAACCAAGGGAAAAAACAGACCAATCCTATTCAAATATTTGTAGATAAGCAAGTCATATAAGAATTATTCATAATTCATTGCCTTTATATTGCTACTGTTTCATATTGAAAATATAAGCTGCCAAGGAAAACATTATACTTTCCTTGAAATGAATGTTTTTATTGTTCAAATTTCTTTTAAAAAAGAAATGCAGAAATGCGACGTTAACTTTATTCAAGTATCGTAATTATGGTAGAATGCATATGTATGAATGATTGGATATTCTTCATTATGGTACTGTTATAGCAGTATACGAAAATTAAAGAAAATCATGTTCAGTTTATTTAACAGTTTGTTTTCAATTCAGTCTAAAGCATTGGTACAGATACATTCGTGTTTTCAATTACGCCTTTTCTTTTTCAAATATATTATGGTAAACGTACCTTCACAAGCTTTGCCAGAATACCCCTTTGAACAATTGCAACTGAAGCTGTTTCCTGATATAGAACATTCACCCTCATGAAAACAAGGAAGGCTACTGCAAGGCGTTACTGCAAGCAACATAAAAAAATCAAATTTCAACATCCTTTTAAGTTTATCTATTTCTTTAAAATTCTTAGAGTTAATCATTGTTTTCTATATATCTTTTATATTATACCGTTGAATTTGATGTAGCGTTTTTTTGGATTAATACATTAGAAAACTCTCTCTTTAATATCACTCTTTTAAAAAAAAAACGTATACATTTGTTGTGTACATAAACAAGTATTTTCTCTTATTATGAATTGGTTAGATATAAGAAGATGTGGTATGAGTGCCAATGAGACAACTCTTCATCCAAGTCACAATTTGTAAAAGCAAACCAATATAGGTCAAAGTACAATGTATGGTCTTCAACACGGAGCCTTTGCTCACAGCGAACAGAAAGCTATAAAGGGCCCCAAAAATGACTAATGTAAAACCATTCAAACAGGAAAACCAACTGTCTAATCTATATAAAATACAAGAAACGAGAAACACTTATGAATGGTTGTCTTGATTTAAGGAGTAAAAAAGGTATATGACTAAATATTACAACCTAAAATTATGATCGGTAAATTTTTATTTTCATTAACTAGTAAACATGCTTATATAAAATAAGTCTCATAATTTTGACTGAATTGATCTCGTTGAATTGTACTATTTGCATTGTCCATCGTTAAACGATCTTCTATTTTATCTCTTATACTGATTGAAGACATGTTGAAACAATTGTATACATCGGAAATGGTAGCAACTATGAGCAACAGAAACGTCTACATAACAAACAGATGTACCTTCACATGATGATCCAGAGAAGCCACTTCTACATGTACACTGACACGTTTTTCCTGATATAGTTTTTGTTCCTCCATTATCACAAGGAAACCCGTCACATGGATCAACTGTAAAATTATTTCAGATATCAAAGAGTACACAATTCCATGTGAAATAATGTGCCCATCGTTATACAATGTTATATGAACTGTTTGAATGAAATTCTTTAAAATATTTTTTTTCCACACAGAAATATGCAGTTGCTGATACCATTTTTTTCCTTTCCTTTTGATAGGGTTCTTACTACACGACATGCATTTGTTGTATAAATATAAAATCAAGGCAAAAAAAAAAAAACGTTGAAACTGTAAATTGATGCTGATGTGGTTTGCACTCATTGATAAAATCAAAGATTTGCAGGGATGATTCGACAATAATTTACAGATACGACTGTGTTCAGTTGTATTGGTACCATGTGTATTAGCATATTAAAAAGCCATCTTAATGTGTCTGTCTAATACACAACCATATAAATCTTTATTATTTTGTTCACATCGTCAACAAAATAACTCCTTGCATAAAACTTCCGTTTTTTTAATTTACTCTGACCAGAACTTTATCTACATGGAAGTTACAATAATCTTTTAAAAATTGTTTCATCAATATGATATACATCAAAACAAACCTTGAAAAATATTGTGTTTTATTATCAATGTTGTACATAAAGAGATAGTATTGCTCATTTATTTGTACCTTCACATAATTTGCCAGAATATCCATCTGAACAAACACATAAATAGCTGCCATTAACATTTAAGCATGATCCAGAATTTACACAAGGACTACTGCTGCATGGTGTCACTACAGCAAAATTGAAAAATCATTTATTTAGATTTTCAAGTAGTAATTTTCATATTTATATAGATTAAATTTATTTATCAGAACAATGTATCGGGCAAATACAACATTATTTATATTGATTAGTACATTGCATGGGAAAGTATGTGAAAATTCATAATATATCATTGTGATAATGATACTGTCTCCAAATAGAAAATGTAACCAGCATGCATACAGTAAAATTATTGTACATTCTTTGAATTAAATTTTCAAAGTTTATTTTTTCTTCTTCACTACGTAAAGTATAAATCCAACGTATACTCCGTTTAAATATAGGACTACCGACATTAGGTACATGCAAATGTGACTGAATATTGGTTTTACATAAGAAGTGTTGTCAATTTATCCTTTACCAGAATACAAATTTCATCTCAAGTTTATTATATCGCTTCTGAAGAAAGTCTAAAACAGTTACATAGATGAAATTATAAGGAAATGTCTGTACCAAGTCAGGAATATGACAGTTGTTTTCTAATCGTTTTATGTGTTTGAGCTTTGATTTTGCCATTTGATAAGGGACTTTCCGTTTTGAATTTTCCTTGGAGGTCGGTATTTTGTTATTTTACTTATTCAAGTCATGAGTTTCATTTTCATATATATTTCGTTACACTTACCTTCACATGTGTTGCCCGAAAATCCCTTTGAACAATTACAGCTATAGCTGTTTCCTGATATAACACAACTACCGTCATATAAACAAGGTTGGCTGGTGCAAGGTGTTACTGCAAACAACTTTAAAAATAAATGTCAGCCTCCTATGTTGCTTAAATAATTCGTTAAGCAGGAAATTTTTTAAATATTGTTTATATTATTTCAAATATCACATTTTCATCAATATATCATTTATATTTCATCATATACATTGGTGTATATCGTTCTGCTACTTGATACTAAGAAAAGAAACAATAACCCTCTACTATAAATTAAGGCGAAAGTAGTATGCTCTTCAATGTCGTATCTTATATGTTCTTTTAATGTTTCTTTAATTCATGGGTCACCGATTAGTCTTTTGTAGATGAAACGCGCATCTGACGTAATCAATTTTAATCCCTAATGTACGAATCGCGTAAATGGAATGATATTACCCTATCTTGAAAAAAAAAAACTATTCAGTTATTTGTTTTTCTAACATATGCATTTACTTTCAATTCGTAGGAATTTATTGCATTGCTTCACTGGAAAACTACTATAACAAATATATCGTTTTATTGGCATACTACATCATGTCTAATTTGCTCAATAATGATCTCCATTGACTGTTTAATCTTCTAATATGAAAGTAAGTGTTATAACTATAAAATAATTTTCCGGATGCTGAGTTGAATACATAAATCGCCGATCGCTGTTATGTCATACTGGTAAGAGGCATTTTTTAAACAATAGTATATCACAAAAATAAAATGGCAGCGTCAAAAACGTCCACACAATGAAAAGCATACTTTCACATGATGATCCAGAGAAGCCCCTTCTACATGTACACTGACAGGCTGCTATTGACACTGTTTTTGTTCCTCCATTTTCACAGGGGAAACCTTCACACGGATCAACTGTAAAATGTATTTACATATATAACAGGGTACTCAACCTCATGTGAAATAATTATAAATTGCTGCTTTTGTAAGGCGAAAAGGTTTAGTTGGTGTCCGCGTTCTGATGTGATTTGCTCCATTCCGTCGATGCTTTCTTGTATACTTGTACCGAATTAAAGTAAGTTTCTTATTTTAATAGAACAACAAAAAAATATTTAACAGAATTGTTATGAACTGGACTTTTCTGTATAATATAAATAAGAAGAAGTGGTATGAGTGCAAATGAGACAACTCTCCATCCAAGTCACAACGTATAAAAAGTAAACAACTATAGGTCAAAGTACGGCCTTCAACACGGAGCCTTGGCGTTGAAATACATATTGATCTGACAGAAATTAACAAAGTTCAATATATAGTTGACTATATGGTATGGTTTTTTTTTCATTGTTGAAGGTCGTATGGTTGCCTATAGTTGCTTACATCCACATCATTTGAACTTTGGTAGATAGTTGTCTCATTGGCAATCATTCCATATCATTATTTTTTAAGAATATCCGTGCTAATGCTACATTTTTAAATGTGATCAGAACTTTATTGATAGAAAAAAGCGTTTATCTAAGATAATATGATTTATATCAAACACAATTTTGGAAGATATTGTCTCCTATGCTAATTCTATCGTATATAGTGACAACAATGATCAGTAATTTGTACCTTCACATAATTTGCCAGAGTATCCTTTAGGACAAGCACATAGATAGCTGCCATTAACATTTAAGCATGATCCAGAATTTACACACGGACTACTGCTACATGGTGTCACTGAAGCAAGATGGAAAAACAGTCTAAATGTATTTTGTAGTAGTTTTCACGTTTTAATATAGATTCATTTTATTAATAATAACAATTTTACAGCAAAGTAAAACATAGCTTATTATGATTTGTTCGTAGATGTTAGTATCAAAATGAATATTCATTATCAAATGACTTGAAAGTGATACTGTCTTTCTATTGGCAATAGTACCCGCTCAGAAAAAGTACCATACATTCGTTGCATTGTTCAAATTGCTTTCAAACAGCTATTTAAAAATCCCCATATAGTTCATTTACGTTTCATATTTACCGAAATAACGTCTTATGCACCTGTAATGGGCGATTTAATATTTTATTTTTAATATGAAGTGTCTTTCCTTTTCGGTTCTAAAAAATATCGTAAATATTTATGAAACCGTGTTCTCAAATTATGCCATTTCTTCTTCAGATATGTTATGTTTATCTTACCTTCACATAATTTACCAGAATATCCCTCTGAACAATTGCAACTGAAGCTGTGTCCTGATATAGAACAACTACCAGCATGTAAACATGGCTGGCTGGTGCAAGGTGTTACTGAAAACAACTTTGAAAGTAAATGTCAGCCTGTTGCTTAAATAAATCCTTTAGTAGGAACTTTTTAAAATATTATTTATATGGTTTCTAGAATCAAATTTTGTTCAATATGTCATTTATATTTCATCGTATAAGTTGTATATATCGTTCTGCTACCTGATACTAAAGAAAAGACGCAATAACACTCAGGTATAAATAAAGGCGGAAGTAGTAAGCTCCTCAACTTCGTATTTTAGTTGGTCTTTTAATGTTTCTCTAATTCAATGGGTCACAGTGTTTTGTGAACGAAACGCGCGTCTGGCGTAAACAATAATAATCCCCAATGTTCGAATCGGGTAAATCGATTAATATTACCTTATCTAAAAAAAAAACAACATATTCAGTTATTTATTTTTCTTTACATATGCATGTATTTTCAATCCGTAGGAATTGGTTGCCTTTTTTTAGGGACAAATTACTATAGCAAATATACCGTAATAATGGCTTACTGCATTATGTCAAATTTACTCATCCCCATTGACTGTTTAATGTACTAGTATGAAAGTAAGTCTTATAACTAAAAAAAAATGATTTCTTGGATGCAGAGACTGATAATTAAATCGCTGATCGTTGTAGATAGCGGTCTGATTTGTCATACTGGTTGGGGGCATATTTTTAACAATAATATCTCACGAAAATAAAATGGTAACATAAAAAACGTCCACATAAGGAAAAACATACCTTCACATGATGATCCAGAGAAACCACTTCTACATATACACTGACAGGATGTTCCTAACACTGTTTTTGTTCCTCTATTTCCACAGAGAAAACCGTTACACGGATCAACTGTAAAATTTATTTGGATATATAACAGGGTGCTCAACCTCATGTGAAATAATATTCTTATCACTATTTGTTTTATTGTAAGTTTAATTTTAGACCAGACTAAAGGTAGAGTGTGAAATTATAAATTGCTGCTTTTGTGATACGGAAAGGTTTCATTTGTTTCTGTGTTCTGGTGAGATTTGCTTCATTTCCGTCGATGCTTTCTTGTAGACTTGTACCTGATTTAAGTAAGTTTCTTATTTTAATAGAATAAAAAAAAATCATTTAACACAATTGTTATGAACAGGCTTTTTCTGGTTAGGTCCTGGAATAAATACTCGATCAATTATGTTGACCCTCAACTCTTCAAGTATCGAGGCCAATGCAGTTAACCTTGCATTTACAATGGCAAAATAGAAACAGCCAGATAATAACGCTTACGTTAGTATAGTCGCCATGTGAACTAGTACATACAAAAAAAAAACCAAGCGTATTTGTCTTATACAAAACTATACATATGTGACTATATTTCAATTCTATCTTCCGTAATCAAATAAACACTCACATTATATAAAAATGCCGTTGAATTACATATTGATCTGTCAGAAATTAACAAAGTTCAATATATAGCCGACTATACGGTATGGGTTTTCTCATTGTTACAGTTCATACTGTTGCCTATTATTGCTTACATCCACTTCATTTGAACTTTGATGGATAGTTGTCTCAGTGACAACCATACCACAATTCTTTATTTTTATATTCAAGAATATCCGTGTTAAGAATATTTACATTTTTAACTCGATTATCAAAGATAAAATGACTCATATCAAACAAAATTTAGGAAGATATTGTCTCCTATGCTAATTCTATTCAATAAAGTGACAATAAGGATCAGTAATGTGTACCTTCACATAATTTGCCAGAGTATCCTTTAGGACAAACACATAGATAGCTGCCATTAACATTTAAGCATGATCCAGAGTTTACACACGGACTACTGCTACATGGTGTGACTAAAGTAAGATGAAAAAACAATCTAAATGTATTATGTAGTATTTTTCACATTTTAATATAAAGTTGTTTTTTTTTCATAATAACCATTTTACAGCAAAAAGTAAAATAACAAAAATACCGAACTCTAAGGAAAATTCAAAACGGAAAGTTCCTACTAAGTACGGTATCATACTAGTAAAACTTAACTTATTATGATTTGTTCGTAGGTTTCGGTATCATAATAATATTCAATACTAAATGACTTGATGTTGATACTGTCTTCGTATTGGCAATACCACCCGCTCAGGAAATACCATACAGTTTATTAAATATTTTTGCACTGTTCAAATTGCTTTCAAACAGCTATTTAAAAATCCTCATATTCTTCATTTACGTTTCGTATAATGCACCTGTAATAGTTGATTTGATATTTTCTTTTTTTATATAAACTGTCTGTTCCTTTTACTTCATAAAACAAAATGACCATCAGCTAACAAATCGCTTTTAAAAATATCGTTTACGTTTATATACTAGTAGACAAAACCGTGTTCTCAAATAATGCAATTTATTCTTTAAATATATTATGATTAACTTACCTTCACATAGTTTACCCGAATATCCCTTTGAACAATTACAACTGAAGCTGTGTCCTGATATAGAACAACTACCATCGTGAAAACATGGCTGGTTACTACAAGCTGTTACTGCAGACAAAATAAAAAAAAAAATCAAATCAACCTCTCCTGTTACTTAAAGATTGATTGGTATTATTCAACTGAATCAAACGTTTTTCTATGTATCATAAATATTACATCATGTAAATTGGAATTAAGTTAATGCGAATGTAGTTTACCGATGTTTAAATCTCGTCAATCGGATAAGAGGTAACAAACATTAACCGAGGGAATCGCATGGAATATTTTATATCTTTGTTGTTAACAAAAAGTAAGAAAAAGATAAGCAACCCTCTCGTGTAAACCATGCAATCAACGTTTTTTTTTCTTCATATTTTCAGTACATTAACATTATTTTTTCTCCGTTGGAATTGGTTGAATTGTTTGAACTAGTAAAAAGGGTACTGAATGAAAAACAAATATACAGTTTTAATGTTTTATTGCCTTAGATAAAATCCAATTAAAATAATATGAAATTACATTTCAATTAAGTGGTAAATTTACGATCATTTACTAATATTAAAGTAAGACTTTTTTAGTATTAATCGATTGTATGTCCCTGTAATTGTACTACATACATCGTCCATTTATAAATAAGAATGATTTAAGTCATTTAAAAACAATTGCATACATCGAAAATGGTATGAGCAACAGAAACGTCCACATAAAAACAGAAATACCTTCACATGATGATCCAGAGAAGCCACTTCTACATGTACACTGACAGGTTGTTCCCGATACAGATTTTGTTCCTCCGTTATCACAAGGAAAACCATCACATGGATCGACTGTGAAATTAATTTAAATCCATAAAAGGGTAATTAGGTACAGGTAATGCTTAAAATATATCGAGGTTCTCGGGATTCATTGAATTAGAGGACAAATAAATGTTGTACACCTTATATGTTCATATATTAGCATGCAGCAATATAAATTGTTTCGTGTGCTCTTTTCGTGGCAATCACCTGCTCCAACATTTTCTTACATGTTTCTACATTTTATCTTGAACCGTAACATGATTTCAGTTAGACAATGTGACGTGCCGATAATAGAAACTCTTTTATTTTCTTTAGAATATCTACTATAATAACATTTTTAAAGCAGGAAACGACTGAATGTAGCAAAACATATATATAATCATTTAAAATGTGAAGGAATAATTTCATGATTATCCTAAGACCATCTTATGACATGAATCTTCGAAAACCTAGGCCCACATGTCAGAAACTAACATCTTATAGCTGAAGCCTTTCTGGATGCTTTGTGTTTCCTCAAGTGGATGAATTCGTAAATTTAATCCCAGACCAGACCAGAGAAGTGTTTGAAATTGTAAAATACTGCTTTTGTACTTTTTACTTTTAAATTGTTTGGTAAAGAGCAAACATTTGTAGGCTAGAAGTCGAATATACTACCTTCACATATTTTCCCAGTATAACCTTTTGGACAAACACATACGTAGCTGCTATGATCATTATAACATGATCCTGAATTTACACAAGGACTACTGCTGCATGGTGTAACTAGAACAAAGTTAGATCATAAAACATTACATGATTTAGGTTACAATGTTAACATTTGAGATAAGTTATTATGTCATACATTAGAAAAATTGGTGCAGCTTTTGTTGCCAAGTACGAAGCATTTAAGAGATGGCACGAAGACCGATTGACTCGGAGTGAAAATTATATGCTTGTGATTGTGCGGCAAACTCTGTATAAAAAAAGTAAAACAACAAAAATACCAAACTCCAAGAAAAAACTCAAAACGGAAAGGCCCTTAACAATTGGCAAAATCAAAAGCTCAAACACATCAAACGAATGGAAAACAACTGTCATATTCCTGACTTGGTACAGGCATTTCCTTATGTAAAAAATGGTGGATTAAACCTGGTTTTAAAGCTAGCTAAACCTCTCACTTGTATGACAGTCGCATAAAATTCCATTATATTGACAACAATGTGTGAACAAATCAAACAGACATAATAGGTAAAAATGTCAAAAATAGGGGTACAGCAGTCAACATTGTGTTATAATCTCAATCACTATAAAAACAAACATACCATACAAACATAAACCACATACAAAATGTTTTTTAACCTGTGATTCTTTTCACCAAAAAAAAAAACACTCGTACGTCATGAACAATTCAGTATAACTTACGATCAATGTTAATCGTAAAATGTTTTGTGAAAATATTCGTTGATGTCTGGTACAACACAGAGTACTAGTGCATTGTATACGTTCAAGATTTCATTTCCGTGTTATCGTAAAAAAAATATTTTCAGAAGAACTTAAAGCATATGGCTATATTTTAATCAACCTACAATTACTTGATTTTTTAAATAGAAAACATACCTATGAAACATGGTATATTTCCTTGAATTGTATGCGTAATAATCATCATGTTATGAAAGTATTGAGATGAAATTACATCTCATCTACATATCAAACTAACCGAAGTAAATTTTAATGTGTTTGTGATTGGGCTGTGACACTTTGCACATAGCAATGTTACATCTTTGTCAGAAATAAATCACAAATAATAAGCTTTCTGAAATTCTTTCAAAAACACTAATCTGCGTTAGAAGAATTATGGAAGAATGCATATGTTTGGATGATTTGATATTCTTTTCTAAGGTACTGTTCTCCCTGTTACCGAAAGGTTAAGAAAATCATTTTCAGTTTATTTAACAGTTTTTTTTTTAATTAAGTCTCATGCATTGGTACAGATACATTCGTGTTTTTCAATTACGGCTTTTCTTTATCAAATATATTATGGTAAACGTACCTTCACATGATTTGCCAGAATACCCCTTTGAACAATTGCAACTGAAGCTGTTTCCTGATATAGAACATTTACCCCCATGAAAACAAGGAAGGCTACTGCAAGGCGTTACTGCAAGCAACATGATAAAATAAAATTTCAACATCCTTTTTTGTTTATTTTTTTCTTTAAAATTCTTAGAGTTAAGAATTGTCTACTATATATTTTTTATATAACACCGTTGAATTTGATGTAGCGTTCTTTGGATTTATACATTAGAAAATCTTCTCTTTTATATCACTCTTTTGTAATACATATTTTTTGGTACATAAACATGTATTTTCTCTTATTATGAATTGGTTGTCTTGATTTAAGGAGTTAAAAAGGTATATGACTAATTTACAATTATCCGTTTGATTGGTTTGCAACCTAAAATTGTGATCGGTAAATTTTTCTTTTTATTAACTAGTAAACATGCTAATATTAAATAAGTCTCATTATTTTGATCGAATTGATCTCGTTGAATTGTACAATTTACATTGTCCATCGTTAAACGATCTTCTATTTTATCTCTTATACTGATTGAAGACATGTTAAAACAATTGTATACATCGGAAATGGTAGCAACTATAATCAACAGAAACGTCAACATAACAAACAGAAAAACCTTCACATGATGATCCAGAGAAGCCACTTCTACATGTACACTGACACGTTTTTCCTGATATAGTTTTTGTTCCTCCATTATCACAAGGAAAACCGTCACACGGATCAACTGTAAAATCATTTCAGATATCAAAGAGTACACAAGTCCATGCGAAATAATGTTCTCATCGTTATAGAATGTTATATGAACTGTTTGAATGATATTCTTTAATTGTTTTTTTATAAGTTTCCACACAGAAATATGTAGTTGCTGATACCAATTTTTTCCTTTCCGTTTGATAGTGTTCTTGCCACACGACAAACATTTGTTGTATAAATGTAAGATCAAGACAAAGAAAAACGTTGAAATTGTAAATAGATGCTAATGTGGTTTGCACTCATTGATATCAAAGATTTGCAGGGTATGATTCGACAATAATTTGCAGATACGACTGGTGTTCAGTTGTATTGTTACCATGTGTATTAGCATATTAAAAAGCCATCTTAATGTGTCTGTCTAATACGCAATTATATAAATCTTTATTGTTTTGTTACATCGTCAACAAAATAACTCCGTGCATAACACTTCTGGCTTTTGCTTACTCTAACTCTGACCAGAACTTTATTTACATAGAAATTGAAATAATCTTTGTTTCATCAATATGATTCGAATCAAACCAAACCCTGATATATACTGTCTTTTAGTAAATAAAGTTATAGTAATGATCAGTAATTTGTACCTTCACATAATTTGCCAGAGTATCCTTTAGGACAAACACATACGTAGCTGCCATTAACATTTAAGCATGATCCAGAATTTAAACAAGGACTACTGCTGCATGGTGTCACTAGAGCAAAATTGAAAAATCATTTATTTAAATTTCTATGTAGTAATATTCACATTTTGATATAGATTTACTTTATTTATCAGAACTACATGTACGTATCGGGTAAACCACACTTAATTCATGCTGATTAGTACATTGCATAGGAAAGTATGTGAACATTCATAGTGTATCGCTGTCATAATGATAGGTCTCCAAATTGAAAATGTAATCTACATGTATACAGTTAAGTAATTATACATTTTTTAATTGAATTTTATTGTTGAATTTTTCTTCCTGACTAGGTTAGATATACATCTGACGTTTACTGCGTTTCAATATATGACTAACGGCATTAAGTTAATGCAAATATGATGGGTGACTGGACATTTGTTTTAAAGAAGAACTGCCGTCAATTAATCCTTTATCAGAATACAAATTTCATCTCAAGTTTATTACATCGCCTCTGCTTACCCGTCCGGATCAGCTGAGATCCCCCAGTTTTTGGTGGGGTTCGTGTTGCTCAATCTTTAGTTTTCTATGTTGTGTTTTGTGTACTATAGTTTGTCTGTTTGTCTTTTTCTTTTTAGCCATGGCATTGTCAGTTTATTTTTTAACTTATGAGTTTGAATGTCCCTTTGGTATCTTTCGTCCCTCTTTTCTAAAGAAAGTCTAACGCAGTAACAAAATTAAATCGTGCTTCCAGTTATGAGTTTCATTTCTATTTTGATAAACTTACCTTCACATGATTTGCCCGAAAATCCCTTTGAACAATTGCAGCTATATCTGTTTCCTGATATAGAACAACTACCATCATATAAACAAGGTTGGCTGGTGCAAGGTGTTACTGCAAACAACTTTAAAAATTAATATCAGATTCCACTGTTGCTTGGATAATCCCTTTAGTGGGAACTTTTTAAAATATTGTTTATATAATTTCTAGAATCAAATTTTGTTCAATATATCATTTATATTTCATCGTATACATTGGTGTATAACGTTCAGCTACTCGATACTAAAGAAAAAAAACAATAGCCCTCAGGTTTAAATTAAGACGAAAGGATTATGCTCATCAACTTTGTATTTTATTTGGCCATTTCATTCGTCGGCTAATGATTCTTTCGTGCGTCTGGCGTAAACAATTATAATCATCAATGTTTGAGTCGCGTAAATCGAAAAAAAAAATTAAATAGCAAAAATACCGAATTCCAAGGAAAATTCAAAACGGAAAGTCCTTATCAAATGGCAACTTCAATAGCTCAAACTCATCAAACTTAATATAACCCTATCTTAAAAAAACGTATTCAATTATTTATTTTTCTTACATATATAGATATAAGAAGATGTGGTATGAGTGCCAATGAGACAACTCTCCATCCAAGTCAAAATTTATAAAAGTAAACCATTATAGGTCAAAGTACGGTCTTCAATATGTATGTATTTTCAATCCCTAGGAATTGGTTGACTTGCTTTATGGAACAATTACTATAACACATATACCGTTATAATGGCAGACTACATTATGTCAAATTTGCTCAAAAATCATCTCCATTGATTGTTTTAATGTTCTAATATGAAAGTAAGTCTAATGATTATAAAACGATTTCCTAGATGCTGAGAGAAATAATCCCCGATAGTTGTAGATAGCAGTTTGATATGTCATACTGGTCGGAGGCATGTTTTTAACAATGATATATCAAGATAATAAAATGGTAGCATAAAAAACGCCCACACGAGGAAAAACATACTTTCGCATGATGATCCAGAGAATCCACTTCTACATGTACACTGACAGGCTTTTCCTGACACTTTTTTTGATCCTCCATTTTCACAGGGAAAATCGTCACACAGATCAACTGTAAAATTTATTCAGATATATATAACGGCGTGCTCAACCTCATGTGAAATAATATTCTTATCACTATTTTTTTTATTGTAAGTTTAATTTTAGACCAGACTAAAGGTAGAGCTTGAAATTATGAATTGCTGCTTTTGTAATACGGAAAGGTTTAATTTGTGTCCACGTTCTGGTGCGATTTGCTTCTTTTCCGTCGATGTTTTCTTGTAGACTTGTACTCGGATATGATCCTTATGTCGTAACTACAATACCCTTCCCTTTTCACGAATGTGACCTACCGAATTAGACTATTTACCGGATTTGTAATAACATAAGCAACACGACGGGTGCCACATGTGGAGCAGGATCTGCATACCCTTCCTGAGCACCTGAGATCACCCCCAGTTTTTGGTGGGGTTCGTGTTGCCTAGTCTTTAGTTTTCTATGTTGTGTCATCTGAGCTATTATTTGTCTGTTTGTCTTTTTATTTTTGGCCATGGCGTTGTCAGTTTGTTTTCGATCTATGAGTTTGAATGTCCCTCTGGTATCTTTCGTCCCTCTTTTGTACCTGATTAAAGTAAGTTTCTTTTGAAATCTTTAAACAAAATCATTATGAACTTGCTTTCTATGTATAAGTCCTGGAAAAGATACTCGATCAGTTATGTTGACCATCGACTCTTCAAGTCTCGAGGCCAATACAGTACACCTTTAATTTACAAAGGCAAATTGAAAACAGCAAATTGGTAACACTTACTTAAGTATTGTCACCATGTGAACTGGTACATTTAAAAACTTATTAAGCGTATTTGTCTTATTCAAAACTATAGATATTTGATGATATTTAAATGTTATCTTCCTTAATAAAACACTCTTGCAATATATACAAATGCCGTTTAATAAGATACTGATCTGACAAAAATTAACAACGTTCAATATATAGCCGATTAGAAAGTATGGGTTTTCTCTCATTGTTGAAGGTCGTACGGGTGCCTATTATTGCTTACATCCACTTCATTTGAACTTTGGTGGAGAATTGTCCCAATGGCAATCATACAACAATTCCTATTTTTATATTCATGAATATCTGTGTAAATGCTACAATTTCAACTATGACCAGGGACCTGATTCACAGAGCATCCGTAAAGTTACCGCACCGTAAACGTTGCGGAATGGTTGCGGAATTGAAATGTTCGTATTCACAAAAGCAGCAGAGATTTCGCATCCGTAATATTTGCGGAATATATCCAATAATATTTGAGAAAATTTACGGGACGTTATTAAGAAATATGTTTGATAGATTATTAATAATTGTAATATGGATATACAGATAGTAAATATACTTCTTTGCAGAATTATCATATAACAAATAAGTTTTTTTTTAAAAATGTATCTGACAGTGATAAAAATTTATTTGGGCACCGAACATATATATCTTTTGTGCATTAAGGCATACTTTTTTAAATAAGATTTTTATTCCAAATTTCTAGACAAAAAAATTGATTAGGTACGGAAGTGAATATATCAGTTTGTTTGCATTTAAAATTAGGGGGAAAATAAATACAACATTGAGTTTCAACATAAATTCTTGTACCTGTATTTTATTGAAAAAATAATTTCTGTTTTATTGAAGTCGGAAAAATTGTTTGTCCAAAGAAAAAAGACTCCTGCTTCTCTCCTTATACAAAAGATGAATAGTCGGTGCCAAAGCAGGGTAACCAAATAATTGCCCTCAGCATGCAAATTTAATATTGATAATATTGCATTATCATGAAATGATGTAAAAATCAATTCCATTTTGTTGCGGATGTGAACAATTCAAAATAAAAAAAAATATAAGAGTATATGCGTCTTCTATTTCATGTAACAGTTGGTTGGTGAAGAAGGTGAAGATAGAAAAGCGCTTCTGACTCGCCAAATTTATAGTGTTACATCCATATTTATTTTGGTGCAATATTTCTGTTTCTTGCCATAGAAACAAAAGGGATTGTGTATTGCTACCTGGTACATATGAGGGTGATTAGGGCATTTATATGGACATAAGTTTTTTAATTCCGGTCACATTTTCACTTAATTGTAAGTGAAGAATGGATTACACCGGGGTTTTCAAGTTTTATTCTATAAAAGACCAACACCACCGACCAACAATACAAATGATTTTATGAGAGACCATCCTTATGGTACTCGTATGTATAACATAAGTCTACTGAGTTTTTAAAATAGATTTTTACATGTATCATTTCAGTAAACAGTATCAGTAAACTGAGCAACCATAAAAGATCAACCCACTCTAGTTATTATTTAAAAGTGCCTATATCTTACAACCAAGACAATTTCTGTCTTTGTTTTCCCTGTTCGGTTGGTATGGTAAAGTCAAAGGTAAACTTGAATTGTCTACAAGATGTATATAATACAGTCGGTACGAATTATCACAATATCAAGCAAATTTGTGTCCGGGTAGGGTGAGATGTCTACATGTGGACTAGCACGTTGAAAATCCGCTTAAGACGTTACGCACGATATTGCGTCTCAATTGGTAACGTCGACTTTGCAATACGCTCGTGGCGATGTTTTTTCGACTCCGATCTTAATTGAAAACTTTGGTCAGTTATCAAACCGAAAGTCGCCGTTCTCCGGCTTTCTATACCAATGAAAACAGTTCAATAAAATACAACCAAGGTCGCTAATAGTGGCGTTAAACACCAAAACACAAAATTTAACAAACAATAAAAAAAATCCGATTTGATTTAAAGTCCCGAATCGACAACGTTCAAAACGTAAGAAAATTGTTGAGTGACAAACTTGCAAGACATTTGATTTGTTAAAAAACGAAGTCGTTTCGACTTCGCAAATTATCAAAAAGTATGAAGCTGTTTTGTGGGGTTTAGGTACAAATACGGAAAAGCACTATTTTGCATGCTTCAAATCGAATAGTTTATCAAATGACGTCGCAACTGACAGTTAACTTGTAAAAAGCGACAAAAATTTGACATTGGACATTCTTGCAAGACAATTGCCCGAAGCCGTTGCGTTTTTATTTGTGGTGTGAATGCTGTAAAAATCCGATTTTAAAATGGTCTATCTATGTACTTTTATGAGCATATTTCAAGAAAACGAGATTTCATATAATCTTATATTTTAAAAACCCCTAACTTACTTACCATTTTCCGAAATCTGACCATGGTGAAGACAATTAATTTTTGCAAAAAATTAGCTTTGACCGTTGCAACAACGCAAATTCAGTAATGAAGTCATACCTTATATATGACGTTTATCATTCATGCAAATTTTCGCGGATTTTACACTCTTTCAAAGAGCACAAAAACTCCTGTAAAAGTTATCATGCGTATAACTTGTTACGTCTGACACGCTTATTTTTGACGTTTTGTCAATATTTTTGTCCATATTTTAAACTATTGTAAAAAGTTATAAAATAATTTATTATTTTTATGGAAACAGTAATACCTGCTTAGTCTACGGATATTCATTTTAAAAAGCTCAACAGTTGAGGTTTTATAGAAGAACTGTTTATCAGTGTGCTCTGCCTGATTTCACGGTATTGACGCACTAACGTGCTTAATGTCTTCAGTGTGTCCGTCTAGTACAAAGCAGAGTTAATATTCATATTACATTACCATGTTCTCGTCCTCAATATGCATTTAATTTGCTACTAGACATTAAACAGCTTTCCATCATCATCAATCATCGTCATCGTCATCGTCATCGTCGTCATCATCAAATATTGGGTTGTAGGCAAACAGTAAACCATCGGCAATTAGAAAGTGTTTCCACTTCTGATTTCAAACTATATGTAAACTTTATCATCATTAAGGTCAAGGTCAGATCAGTAATCATCGTTTTCATTGGAATTCATGCAACACAAATTCAAATTGCAATGTTCTCTTGAAAAGATAAAATTTTGAACTGCCAATTTACAACCAATCAATCAATCAATCAATCAATCAATCCTATCATTTTTTGGTGGTATATGACTATTCTCAAATCCAAAGTGT